TCTTATGCCCAATTTTATTCAGTTGTGACTTGGTGGTGATGTTAAGCAAACTTCGAGATGTCGTTTCTTTTCAAAATTCTTTAACCCAGACGGTTTACTAAGTTTTTTTACAGCAATCGCAATGTTTTATAGTTGGAATGCAAGGCAACTCTCTTCGTCCAGCATTCCTGTATAGACTCGTAATTACCTTGTATCTCACTTTAATTTTGTTTTCATTGCCTAACTTTTTAGCTACACTTCTCATTTTAAAGAGTAATAATTGCACGTGGTTTTGGATTTGGAACGAGTCGTTTGTTTCATTCTTTTAAATAACAATTAGTCAATCATCTTCAAGATTCTTCCTTTGGACAAAGAAAACTTGTAAAAATAGTAACACTATTGGGAGGAAAAATTTTGTTAAGGTGGATTGTGATTTTAAAAATTTCTGACATCCACAGGTACATGTCACATTTAATTTTTTCCACGCACTGTTTGCTCTGTTTCTACTTATCTTTTTTATGTCACATTTCTCTTGTAGGCTGCTAACGTCATCTGCTAGAGCATTCGAAGTTTTCCCACCGAGGTCAGTTAACCTTGATTGACGTAGTGATTAGTAATGTGCGAGTCTTGAAACGTATTTCTATTAGTCTAACGAATAAAGCAAAGGAGTTGTCGGCCAGATAGGAATTGGCGATTTTAGAAAACTCTTCGCTTCGTTTCCAATTTGTAACATAGATATTTCCATTGTTTGATCCTTCTTATGGTCAGTCTCGTAATCCTTAGGGTATATTACGTGGTTTTTCTTCTGGAGCTATCTAGATGTTAACAAACATTTTTCTTTGAATATATAGTTCAGATGACACCCTTGTGTTCTATTGCGTTCTGTGCATGATATACAAGATACTCGATATGTTTAAGGTGGCCAAAGGCGGTTTACACACGCTGAGCTATTACCCTCTGCAGTTTTTTTTTTTCCAGCCAGTCAATTGTACCAAATCACCTTCAAAGTTTTTGAGAAATTTGAGTCCTGTTTATAATTCTGGTGGCTCTAGCGTGAGAGTTTTTGCCATACCCTTCAGCTAACTTTTCCATATGTCTTAATTGAGCTGAATCAAGAGAACGTAAGTTCTCTTAGCTGAATTGATAGAGTAATATGGGTTATTACACAAATGACTGATCAATTCTTTCCTTTTGTAAGTTTAAGTAAATTTTTGAGAAAATCGAGTCGTGCCTACGATTCTGCTGCCTCTGGCTTGAGAATATTCTTACATAATAGATTTCACCATTTTGAATGTCATAGTGTTTAGCTTACTTGACTTCCAGTCAAAATGAACTGTGCGTTTACTACTTGAATTTTAAACGTAGCTTAAAGGGAACGAAAAAAGTGAGAATGAAGAACGTACCTACGAAAGAAACGTCGAAGGCTTCAATTCAATATCGATTCAAGTAAGATTCCATGACAGCTTTTTAGACTTTGGTTTCAAATTAGCGGAATAAATCACGGGATCCGAAAAGAGGGAAGGATTGGCCCATGCCTGTTCGACGTCTAGGGTCATTTTTGTAAACAGGAATTGGTTATTTTTCCCCTTTGCAACAGACAGTTGCGTGAGCCTTGTTCACTAAACCGGCGGTCAATTATCGTAGTGGCAGGTGTTGGCCTGACTGATTGACCTATTTTTTTGCATCATTGCCTTTCGCCGCAAAATGTTTCAGACGCACTGAGATTAACGGGAAACACTCGAATCACGAAGTCAAAATTCGTTTTCAGACAAAAGCAGAAACAAAAACTAATTGAATTTACAACTTCTTGTCTTAATCATAACAAGAATGTAGCCATTTTCCCTTCCACGGAAGAAGTTGAACAGACGGATTGCATAGTCACTTAATCAAGAGTGCGGCTCTTCACTTAAGTTTTTGATCTTAAGTACAACAAGTGCCTTTGTATCTCTGAATCTTTGTTTTAGGTTGTTTTTATTCCTTGTAAGAACTTTGCTGCCGATAAATGACTTTCTTTACTTGTACTTGGAATATTTTTGGTCAACTCACAAGGTAAAGAAAAATCAAAAAATCGATTTCAAGAATCAAAAAAAATTTTTAAACTGTTGTAAAGGATAGATAATAAACATGTTGATTAATCCTTTGACCCTCAAAAGTGACCAGCATCTGATTTCTCCTAACAATATCATCCCTAAATCATACATTAGGGTCACGGGAATAAAGTTTATGATCACCAACTATAGAAGCTCTTGATTGTTAAACAAATTCTCCTTTTCAGCTCCTTAGAGAATGTATAGAGAAGCGTAAGGAGAATATACATGTTGATGTTAGGGTGTAAAGAGTTGACAAGTGCTATAGCAAAGAAGCCAGTGATGAGTATCAGTGTCCCAAATGAGGTCATCAAAGGTGAATACTAAGGAAGCTGATAGTCGAAATAAAATTTTGAGTCTTGATAGAGAGGAGGAAAATTATTTGAAAGCGTCTTTTCGTATTGTCTCGCACGAAAGAGGTCAAAATTCTCTGTAATTAATACTGCGACATAAAGACGCTTGCCCTGTGATTATTCAAACTATTCAAGCTTTTACTTTTCTTTCATCTGTGCCCGTATAAAGTATACATTGAAAAAACAGGTGGTTTTTTGAGACACATTTGTGATAGATAGGTAGGAAACATTCAGGTGCAACACAACATTATCTTTGACTTTCTTAAACTTTGGCTTATTTTCACTTTTCCAGCATTTTAGCCATGTATCTGGCCCAACAGTACAAAACGCGCTATTGGAGTTTTTCTCGACGAATTTGCCAGCTTTTCGATAGGCTTCCTGTATTCCGTCCTTAACGTAGTTTTCCTCTAAGCTCGGTGCACCGCACTGGTCCGGTGCATAACCAGGTAACCAACCTTCGTCTGTGGACGGACAGTTACCCATTCTCGATATCGTCGACGGTCAGAATCTGTTTGGCTAACAGGTTAAAAATAATAAGTTGGCTTTTTTCAGGGTAGTCTCAGTACTACTTAAATGCCAAATTTTCTATGTGGCTTTACAAAAACGATTGCTGATTGCGTTTTGTTTACTTCAGTCTTCCCTTAAGCGAAGATAAGATCCTAAGAAAATTTCTCACCTAATTCCCTCCTTCTGATAATGAGAAATCCAGAGCAAGTTAATCTTTAAATGCAACATTGACATCGATCGCCCCAAATGTTTCATGAACAGCGCCACATTATTCTCGGCAAAATATTACGTGATAGATCTGTTTTAGTGCGAAGAGGAAATCGTCATTTGTCAGAAATTATTTTGTTTGAAATGTATTTACTATTATTACAGAGACAGAATTCAACTTAATTGAAGAAGTAGGACTCAGTCTCTCTGAACACCCGACAGATTTGACAGCAACCCTCCAATCGCGCAATTTAAAATGGAGGTATTCATGATAAGCTCCCTCTTTGGCACTCAAGGACAATTGATGTTCCAAGGCTTTAAGTGCAGGCTATATCTGAGAATTTTGAGCATTAATAGTGAATGACAACTGTCCATCACTAGCCACAAGTCATTGGTCAATACTAATCTGCTATACCTTTTGTTTGATGATTTTTGACCTTGACTTGATGAATAACAAGATACTTGAATTTGTGTTCAAGGCAACAATATTTTTCCTCATCAGAAGCGGACGTAAATTCCACGACGAATGGGTTTGTTTGACGCAACTTCTGTTCTCGAGTTGTCTTTAAGATATTGAAAAGATTGAATACAGTCTTTGCTAAAAATTGTTTTTTTTCCTTGTTTAGCGGTTTTAATTATTAAATGTCCCCTATTCCTAGAGTGTGGAAAACCTTTTTTTGACAAGAAACCTAAGATTTAAAAACACAGTCAGATTATCAAAATGTTGACAAGAAATTTCTAAGCTATAAGCTAGAAGTTGTTGTTGTGAAAACTTACATAACATTAACAGAAGTAAAAAATAATTCAAATCAAGGCTAACTCCAAGCAAATTCACCATCAAGGAATGGAGCTCACTTTAACTAATCAAACTTAAGAAAAATTGGGACTTTCTTCACTAGAATACTCTTAACCGTTATGAAAAACCACCCATCTCGTATTAAGATAAGAGCATCACTGCTGACCAAAATAAGAAAATTAACAATGAACTTAAAACGATTAAACCGAGAATCCTCTCAAAAAGCACTAAAACTGTTCGTAGTTCGGAAACAAATTAAAATGAGCACTGCTAAGAATCTGGCTTTGGAAAGAATTTTTTTTACAATTATATTTTTTATATCTATGGACCATACGATATCACTCAGAGGATGAACATTCCATGAGAAGTGGACCAGTCGAATTTAATAGCAACACGGTCAAAACACCGATATTGAATGAGAACGTAAACACGTTATTGATTATCAAAGCTGTTTGACAAGAACTTAACACAAGCAAATTCATCTCTCGTAAGGGAATATAAGGGTTTTCAGAGTGAACCTAATACATAACTTAATGTGATATCGTGGTAACAAAACAACAAGAATTTGGAAACAAAGGACTTGAAACCAGAAATACGTAACAAATCCTTTAATTTGTTTTCTGCCGAGGACGGATGTAAATTCCAAGAATGTCAGCCCGTTCCTAAAGGTCGCTAAGAACACGTAAAAAGTTCAAAAACAACCTGTTATTAACCGTTCAACTTCAGTTGTGATCCACATGCAACTTCTTTATTACTTGTGAGCAATTTTATATTTACGTTAGTGAAAAGTTGTTCTCTTGGAAATGATTGTGAAGATCACCTAAACACTTTGGCATTTCCATCTACAACGCATTTAATACCAGGAGCATAGTATCATGATTAGTTAACCATACCTTCAAGTCCTTTAGCAAAAAACAAAATTCAGACCATTTTTTAAATTCCAGTGATACAAGTGTTTCAGTGCTTTAGTGCACGTTCATACACGGAAAAATTAGCCAATGATTGACCAATTATTCCTTTAGCAACTATATAAACAAGCCCTCTTAGTTCACTCAATTGGCTCAACCTTGAAAACATCGAGAGGTAAGTAAGCTTCGTGTTTTAGCAAAATTCGGTTCTTCGGCTCCTATTTTCCCCTCCATTCTTAAAGCATCTTCAATCAGCATCTTCAATTTTTACCACAGAATTCTTTGCATTTATAATTATGCCTAATGTTATTCAGTTGTGACTTGGTGGTGACGTTAAGCAAACTTCGATAAGTCGTCTCTTTTCAAAATTCTTTAACCGAGATGGTTTATTAAGTTTTTCACTGCTATCGCAATGTTTCATAGTTGGAATACAAGGCAACTCTCTTCGTCCAGCATTCTTATATAAAATCGTAATTACCTTGTATCTCACTTTTGTTTTCATTGCCTAACTTTTTAGCTGCACTTCTCATTTTAAAGAGTAATAATTGCACGTGGCTTTGGATTTGAAATGAGTCGTTTGTTTCATTCTTTTAAATAACAATTAGTCAATCATCCTCGAGTTTCTTCCTTTGGACGAAGAAAACTTATAGAAATAGTAACACTATTGGGAGGAAAAATTTTGATAAGGTGGATTGTGATTTTAAAAAAAGTCTGACATCCACGAGTACATGTCAAATTTAATTTTTCCACGCACTGCTTGCTCTGTTTCTACTTATCTTTTTTATGTCACAATTTCTCTTGTAGGCTGCTAACGTCATCCGGAAGAGCGTTCAAAGTTTTCCCACCGAGGTCAGTTAACCTTGATTTTGTGTTAAACAACTTGGAATTGACGTAGTGATTAGTAATGTGCGAGTCTCGAAACGTATTTCTATTAGTCTAACGAAGAAAGCAAAGGAGTTGTCGGCCAGAAAGGAATTGGCGCTTTCAGAAAACTCTTCGCTTCGTTTCCGATTTGTAACAAAGATATTTCCATCGTTTGATCCTTCTTATGGTCAGTCTTATAATCCTTAGGGGGTGTATTAGGTGGTTTTTCTTCTGGAGCTATCTAGATGTTAACAAACATTTTTCTTTTAATATGTAGTTCAGATGACACCCTCGTGTTCTACTGTGTTCTGTGTATGATATACAAGATACTCGATATGTTTAAGGTTGCCAAAGGCGATTTACACGCGCTGAGCTATTACTCTGCAATTTTTTTTCCCACTCGGTCAACTAGACCAAATCACTTCAGCTTTACATTGCAAAGAATAGATAGTAAACCAAAGTTTATGTACACTGCTTCGTCCCTTCTCTATGCTCAAGAACAAGTTAAAAAATGTTGCTGTTAAAAAAATTGATAAAAGTCAAATCTCGTCGGTAAACACATCACATCAAAGAGTAAAGTTTTCCATTCATTTGCACGTAGGACTGGATAAAAAGATTTAACATGGCTAAACGACAAGGAAAAAAAGAAATTGCAGTGCGCGAAGAAGAAGAGAAGCATATAGAACAGATGAAAATGGAAGTAGAGGATGAAATATCCAAGCTCCCTCAAAACAATCCTTCAAAGTGCGAAGGTCTCATTCGAAGGTTGCACAAAAAAGTAAATGCTCTTAAAAAGCAAGACGTCAAAAATGATCTCCTAAATCAGCTAAGATCTGCTTCATGTTATGGATTAGAACCAGAACTCAAAGATATGATGGAGAAAAATGGTTTGGAGTTAGAAGGACTTGAACTTGTGGTACACTACCTAACAAACAAGGCAGAACTTGCAAGATACTTCCACCTCAATCCTCAGGAGGTTGTGGTCAAGGACGGCCTGAGTGTCATAAAAAGACGACTTGGACCAAGTCTGGAAGTGCTTGGTGGCTTGAGCTCCAAGGGAATTGATGTTGAACAAGATTGGGTCAAGTGGTTGGTTGGAAAGGCTCCATCTCTCGAGGCGCTCGGTCGTATCTCCGCTGAAGACCTTGATGCTCTTAAAGCTAATACTGGAGAAAAAAACGAAGTTAGGCGCCTGTTTAAAGCTGAATTGAATAACACTGAACGTTCTGAAGCTGAAAAATCTGGCGAAGAGAAGAAAGCTATTGATGAAGAAAAGCTAGAAAAGGCTAAGGCTCTGATGAAAGAGGCAAGTGAAAAGGCAAAAGAGGAGTCAGAGCAAGCAAAAAAAGCAGTAAGTGAGAAGATGGCTGAAATTGGAAAAATCCTCCAGCTGCCACCTGATTGGAATAAACAGGAGAGTGGAAAGGAACCTGACGAACTGTTGACGCACTTAAATCAAGTAATTGAACAGTTCGAAAACACTGTAGAAGTCAGTGAAAGTTACAAAAGCGACCTCGAAATAGTTAAGAAAGCCAGTGGAGGCCGAGCGCTCTGTGGAATCTATCACTCAGCGTACAACCCGCCAAAAACGGCGGAACGACCTCTCATCCTTATGCCCACAGAGGTAACACTGGGTAGCCCTAACAACTCTCAGCAGATCAATTACTTGAAGTTCTCTGAAAGCATGGCTGCCTCAAAGTATGCCCACGCCGTAAAATCGTCAAGCACTAATATTGGGTTCAGTGTCGGCGGTTTTGTGGGGCTCTTCGTTGGAGAAGCTCATGGTAGTTACGCCTCCAGTTCCGAAAGTCAAGGGACAAGTTCAGTAAAGGAGAAAACCAGTAGCGTCTCTGTACTGCAATATGTTTGGATTGCAACCAAGACCTTTAAACTAGAGCAAGAGCAGATGAGGCTGTCCATGAGTGCAAGAAATATGGCAAGATCCATTACGAAAGCCTCTGATCCCAGTGCAGCAGCTCGTCGATTCATGAATCGCTACGGAAGTCACTTTCCAGCAGGCCTGCACTCACTTGGTGGTGTCCTCTTTCGGATTGTAGACGCCGAGAGCAGTGCAGAAATAGAAACGTCTGTCTTCACGGAGAAAGCGGCGAAGGAGCTTCAAGGTCAAATATCGGTTGGCTTCCTTGGAGGAGCATTTGGAATCGGAGCCAGCATAAGCGGCGGACACAGTAATACTAGCGGTGAGCTACAAGCAGAAGAGAAAAAAGCTGAAGCTGCTTCTTATAGGTACTCCTTCCAGGCCATGGGTCCAGCAGCCACAAACCCTACTACGTTCACTAAGTTGCTGGCTAACAACTCAACTTGGGCTTTAATTGATCGTGGTAGCCCTCTGGCTTACATACCAGTTTGGGAACTGTTAACAGACCTTGGTGACCCTGCATTCAACATGGCAGCCGGAGTCCTAGAAGAGACTTGGAAAAAAGACGAGTTGAAGAAAAGTAAGAAGATTGCTCGCGCTGAATTCAAAATATCAGAGATCATTAGGGAAGAACTAGAAACGCTGGCAAATAGTTACATAAACAAGGTTTGTTTAGTTTTCTTTCTTAACTTTTGTTTTGCAACCTTTCGAAATCGGCTCCTTAAGTCTTAAAACCTACTGTGAGAGACCAAGTAACTTCTTTTCTGATCTTTATTCCTCGAGGGAAATTGAAAAAAATTTTGGAGATATTTAAAGACTACTGTTGAAAGAAACTTTAGCTAGGTTTGTATGTAACATTATTGTTATGGTTTTAGAGCTGATTATTTCAAATAAAACATACAAACGTTTTGCAGTCTATTTTTATCTGTTAAAACTTTTTCTCAAGAAATGTATTTGCACTCGGCACGGGTACGTGAACTTACTGCTTGTGAATTCAGCTTTGCCTCTCATCTTACATAGGTTTGCCTTTCTTTCAAACTATGAAATATAGATAGTTCTTCGCTAATTTGTTTTCAGTCGGCTAAATGATTAAATGAAAGTTATGCAAGTAAGAAGTTTAGGTAACAGTTTGATGATCTTTAAAACTGACGAGTAAGACCAAAAGATTATAATCTTGAGGAAACCTAAGAAAAAAATATTGGTAACAGACATCCAAGGAATTGAGAAATTCCTTCATCGGAAATAGCAAAAGTCGGATGGAAATATTTAAAATCTATAACTTAGTCTCAGAGATAAGTTAACTGACTCTTCTCCCTGGTGCTTTTTTTTTCATAAAATCTTGTGCTACCTTAAATGTAATGATTATGAAAATGACAATAAGTTATATGGTTTTACATCCATGCATGTTTATAAACTGCGAAAAGGGGATAATGATACTTTTTCTCCTGCAGAAACCAAATCCGAAGGGTTTTGGACATAGGCCGGAAAATGCTGCTCAGCTGTTCAAGTTCCAGGAAATCAACTTGTCGCGTGAAAGTGCCTACACCAAAGCTGTGGATATCATTATGGAAGATCCAAGGTACCATATTTGCAAAATTTCTTGGTGTGGTGGAGATTTGTACACTTTGTGTTGTTGGCAGGCAGCAGAAAATTTAGAAATGACCTACCAAAAAGTCAATGGAGAACATGTCCTGTTTTACAGTAAAGCGCTATTCCGGTGGAAAGATTTAGTTCCACCTGAGCAGTAAAAGGTATTGTTACCAAATTGAGGCTTAGAGTAATCAAGCAGGTTGATACTGGTCATAGTGCTCTTATCCTAAAGAAATACAAGTAACACATCTACCGCCTTTTTAGTACTTCCATCACTTTCTGATCCTTCATCAAAATGGCGACCAAAGTAGAAATTTATTCATGTAATATTAGCCTCAGAGCTAGGAATGCAGAAAGTGTTCAACATTTGGATCAAAACTACTGTGGACAATCTGAGTGTTTCCAATATCAAAAGACTCTATAATGACCCTCCCTCCCCCGAAAAAAAAAGGGTAGGTTAATATTCTGAATTTGAATGATATTTTCCTGGCTGAAACTACACTTGACTAAATGAAACTTTGTAAGATTACAAAATAAGGTTATAAAATGATAGGTACCCATTGTGAGATCGGTTTGATTTTCCAGCAAATTTTAATTATTTCAGGCTTCACATTTGGCAGCTATTTTGGGTCAGGGTCTGTTGATAATTAAGGTTACAAAATAGAATAACAGGTATCTAGAGTGAAAGTGATATGAAAATCATGCGAAGTTTGACAATTTGAGATTTGACATTTGATCGCCATTTTGGATAGGGGTCGGTACGTCTTATAGCAGAGTTCTTGTAAGATGTCTCTTGTAATGCATGGGCTCTGTCCACTTTAAAGGAGAGCGAACTGCGCAGTGTAGTTTTTCTGAAAACATGTACAATGCAATCTACCTTTGTTAACTAATATTTAGAAAATCAACTTTTCCTGTTGTCCTGTTAAGGAATCCAATGGATAGTTTTGTTTTTTTTTTTAGCCAGACTTTTTCCTACTGTACTTGAAGTACATGAGGCAATACTTTTCCTAGTTGTAATGTTTATTTTAAGGGGTTGTTATTATATACTTTGGAGTTTGATATGATCCCTTCCCATGTTGCCCACCCTTTTGCTTTGGAATTTTTAAGTTCTAACTTAATGAACACCAACAATCTTGAGTGAATGTTGATGCGCTATTGGTTTCAGTTGGAGTGAACTTATGATTCGACCACAATTTTTGCGCCCTCTTTCTTAATTCTTGGGATCCACCTTATAATTCAGTGTAATTTGTGTGCAATTCAAAAAAGGGTCTGCATTTTATAACTTTTGCCGTTTCCTAGAAATTACATTGCCCTCAAATAGAAAAATTGGAGGGCATTAAAGGCCTTTTATCAACTAGACGCAATAGACATTTGTTCAGAGTTTTTCGTTACTTTGTTAGAGTGCTAAAATTTTTAAGTTTTTACAAAAAACCAACAATAGTTAGATGAAGGAGGCTGTAGGTGTTTGTCCTAGTGACAAAGTTTGTGTGGACGCGTGAAATTTCAGTGAAGGTAAATATGTTTACTTTCGAGTGCATTTATACAATACTAATGTTATCTAAGCAAATATGTTTGTTTGATTAGTTGAGTGTTTTTAAGTTTTTTCTATTTTGATAATTACGGTTTTCCTCCACTGGAAGTTGGTAGAGATGAATCGAGTGCGTGTTTGATAACTGTATCAACTTGTGGTTTTTTTCCTTTGGAATTTGAGTGTGTTGAGAGTCAGATTTTTAGGGCAGAGCTACAATCACTTCAATTATGCTGATTTCTGAACTGGACAGCCGGACTATCGAATGTCACGTTCTGTTGTTCAGATTGATCCAATTTCTTGATTATCAGCCAGCAACAGAAAATGGTCTATCCTGGTTAAATACATCGACGAGGTAACAGCTACTGAAAGAGAGAAGCTCCATGGCTTCAATCAAAATGATATAGAGCTAGAATACTAGTGATAGCAGAGCTAGAGTAAAGTTTTATGCCGGAAAAGTGTATTTGTAAGTAATTGCACATTGTTGGAAATCACAGTTTGAGTTTAAGAGGTGAACGGAGTCATCGATTACCAAACAATTTAAAATTATTTTGGATGTAATAGAGCAATTTTCCATCGAGTGTTGAAAGTAATCCGGAGTTACCCTGTTTTTGCTTTACTTCGTTCTATGATTGGTCATGAAAACTCTCACCTCTCTCTTAACCAATCAGATGCAAGACCAGACTAAAACCAATCCTGACTTGATCACCCGCACTTTAGGCAGTTAACTCGTTTTTACTTTGAGTTCTCATCGGATCTTAAAAGATGTTTTCCATTCTTCTGATTGGCTGTTGCGAGTACTTTGGTTTTGGTTTTGCGACACTCAATCGAAGAGTGCTCTATAATTTATCGTAGGTTTTTATTTTAGTTGTCAGTTAATCTAATGAAGAAGTGATAGAGGCAGAGACAGTATTAAATAACGAGAGCAGGATTTAGTGTGACTGATAACAACGCTGGCCAATCGCAAGAAATTTGTGCAGTTCAACTTTTCAGCCTTAAAGTTTTAACTATGCATATATTTAATGAAAGTTTTTTTTAGGTAGCAGCTATTTCCTTAAGGTTGTCCGGAACGAAACATTTTGTTACCTTCAACCTAAGTGGTGTGAAGTCAGAATATGCTGTGGAAAGATTGCGTTCATTGAATACTCGTGGTTTGTAACTGCATGTACTGCTGTTAAGTGCTTACTTTTGTACATTCTCTGAGAAGAGAGAAAAAATGGATTACATTGAAGTTTTACCACTTGCTCGTTCTTATTTTTACGGGAACTCCTTATGAAAGAGCTGCAGTGTTAGTTTTAATTTGTTACTAGCGTCGGATATAGAAAGGTTGAACGATATCAACGCTTATAGCAAACAGGGTTATCTTATTTTCAACTCTACCTTAGTGCCTCTCTACTAAATGTAATCTTAAAACTAAACTAAATGTAATCAAGAATAAACAAGCAATAAACTGACTTGGTGTGTTCAAGTTTCATATTGTACTGATTATTGGTGGTGATCCCGGGGACAGGGTACCATAGGGTATGGTTACTGGTCCAAGAGCGGGCATAGACTTTGAACATTACGGTCTTAAATCAAGAACAGGTTTAAAAGGAACCGTGGGAGCGTACATAATTACTTTTCTTTACCACTCTATGTGAATCATTGAGAGAGAGAGATGGGGCCAAAAATAAGCGTACACTTATGAATCGTTTCATGGTGAAACTACATATAGAGCAACATTCGATTACGTATCTTAAGCATTCACAACGGAAAATCAGAAGATTTTCATTCGCAGATGTCAGCGAAACTCAAAGTATGTCACAAGTAATGGCTTACATTTGACGCGGGAAAACGTTATAGGCCAAGTCATGATTGGTTTTAGTTTCGCATCCGATTGGTTGAGGAGGTGGTGGGAGTTTTCTTGACCAATCATGGAGTTTAGTCAGGGCAAACCAATGCAATACAGGATCACCCTTAACTGCAATAATCATTCGTTCTGAAATTGATAATGGGTAATGTCTAGCCCCAACCCGCTCGGTGCATATGTTCAACTAAATTACCACGTTGTCTAAGTATTAGCTGTCTATGATCTGTGGGTACCTTCTGTAAGAGATACTGGCTCAACATGCTTATTAACCCTTTGATCCCTTAGAGTGACCAGCATCTTATTTCTCCTCACAATATCACCCCTGTATCAAACATGAAGGCCAGGAGAGTAAAGGAAATGATCACCAACCAAAGAAGCTCCTGATTGTTTAACAAATTCTCTTTGTCATCTCCTTGGGAAATATATGGAGAACAGTATGGAGAATGTTCACACTGATGTTAGGCTGAAAAGGGTTAAGTAAGCACAAGTTATTGCACAGACACTATATTGATACATCATTTATATCATTACAGATGTACTGATACATATCTCTTTTCACACTGTTAGTAATTTGAGATTCATTTCATGTTATCACTTTGATAGTAAATTGATATCATTCATCTTTAGTATACATAGAAACAAAGTAAAAAGTTTAGTTCCACGTAGTTCTTTACAGCAAATTTGATTTGACAAATAATTTAGTGAATGATTGTTCCAATTTAAGCAAGATCATTTGCCAACACTATTCTGTGTGGGGTAAGGGTACCCTAAACCAGCCCTTCACAAGCAAGGAGGGCTGTCTTTTTGTTTGGCCATCCTAGGTTACCCCTCTTAGTGCAAACAAGGTCTTAACCACCCTTCTGTTGAACAAATAGACTGCAATAATAGATTTGCTAAAATATATTTCTGAAAGGTTGCTCTAACTTCGCATTTCATCATTGATGTCATTTTTTTGCCGCCCTGTGAAAGTGTTCATTGCCACATCTGCTCCAAGGAAGGCCAACAGCAGGTCTGTAGCTCTCTCTGGTAGGATACTGGAGGACAGAACAAGGGAAGAACATTGTCACAATGGGTTTATTGAAGGTTTCTAGTTCAAGGTATTGGGGTGTTTACCTATGATAATGTTTTTAAACTGGCATGAAAATTGTGCTGTATCTATTCAAATGTGAAACAATATTAATGTCACTTTGTAGGTAATCATGAGTTGTGTCAGGGTCACCACCTTTCATCATGTAGTGAATGTTGTTGAAACCTTTGGAAAGGTTAAAATCACCTCAGGCCATCATTTAAAGTTATGCAGACATCAAAAAAGATGTGTCATCTCTTTGCAAAAAGCAATTTTGCATGAAAATTCTCTCCAGGTTTCCTACAGATTTCAAATGCAAAAAATTAATAGGATTGTTTTTGGTGTAACTAAATTTACATAAAAGTTGGGTCAGTTTGACTAGAGTTAGTGAGGTAATTTGTCTTGTTAGCAAGAACTGCATGTGATGACATTTGGAAGTCAAGACATATGGCAATCTTACTAAAATGCCTAATAAGCCCAAGCCATTGTTGAGCTCATGAACTAAACTGAAAAACTTACTGTTGTATGGCTGTTGATAAATAAGCACCTCGAGGCATAGTGAGGTGAATTTGGTTCTTTTCAATAGCATCAATGACCTTGGATGCGGCATATTGTGGAGTAAGAGTACCAAAGCCTACCAAGTTAGGAAACCTAAAAAACCAAGAATAATTCCAATGTAATAAATTGGGTGCAGTTGTGGTATCATCTGACACATAAGTTTTTGTGTGAAGTACACAGAAGCCACCTTTCATCACATATTTTGTAAACTTACATGTATCTTGTAAATTATTATGTCTTATTTGTTCCCCTTTTCCTCCTCACAGCTGCATCACTCCTTTCACAGCACAAGCACTACCACCTTTCCCTTCTGCCAACTCTGCTTCATCAAGCATATCAACCATGACTTTGAACTCACCTTACCTACTTGCCCCTCCTTTCTACCTAAGTAAGGACTTGACAAATCTAATGTAGGGGTTAGGTGGTGGTGGGAGGGGAGGGGATGCCAGGGAAGACAGAGTTTGAGGTGGAGCCCTCTCTGATTGCTTCCCTCAAGGTGTAATTACAACTAAGCAGGAGGATACTTTTCTTCCTATGCATATGAACTTCTCATATAGCGACATAAGAAACTTCACCAACCTGAACCTAACTCCATCAAACATTCCAGTGGTTATAAGTGAAGGACATACTGTTGTCAGTTGAATACCAGTCTTTTTCTGGCTTAACAATTCTTGACGTAATGCCTCCATCAGACCAACAGCTGCAAACTTGGATGAACAGTAGTCAACAGCACCAGCAAGACCAGTATAACCAGCAATAGATGCTATGCTTACTATGTGGCCTCGGTTTTGTTGAAACATGCTTGGAAGGAACTCCTTAATAGTCTAAATGAGGGAGAAAAGAACTTTAACAAAAGGAAATTTTAAAAACATGACACAGCAGTTCACAAAATACTATAATAATAATAATAATTGCAATATTTCTATTTCTTGAATAAACAAAAATCTTACACATGTGTTGTTTTCAATGTATGAATAAGTTACATAGATCCAGTGAAGATGGCATAAGAGTCCATGTAAATAACAGTGAGATCTTCCTGTTTATGTTTGAAATGCTTTGAAGTAAGGATCCAAATCAAGAGCAAAATAAATCTTAATGTACATCAAGTCTGTGAATCAAATATGGAGGTAGGTCAGGTAGGTCAGGTAGGTGCTCTCACCACTGCACCATCCCACCTCCTCCTAACCCTTTACACCCTAACATCAGTATGCATATTCTCCATACTGTTCTCTATACATTTCCAAAGGTGCTGACAAGGAGAAATAATTATTGTTTAACAATCAAGAGCTTCTTTAGTTGGTGATCAATTCCCTCATTGTTGCAGCGGTGGATCCAGGGGGGGGGGCATGAGGGGGCCTGTACCCCCCCCCCTTTTAGGTGGACCAAAAATTAATATTAGTGCTGAACTGAGTTTTTTAAAATCAAAACTCTCACTATAAGAAAGATTCTAAAAAATGTTATCAGACAACTTTAGACAACTTTCAAGATGTAACCAGCATCAGCTGTGGCCCAAATCTTTGTTATAAATGACAAATAGGTGGCTGAGCCGTGGGTGGGGTGAGTTGGAGGCCGCCAATAACAAACTCTGCATTTTCATGCCCCCAGACCCCCCTAGAAAGCTTGTGCCTATGGTGCTTGTGGTGCCACCCCCCCAAGGAAATCCCAGATCTGCCCCTGTCTTGTGACCTTATTGTGTGATTTGGGGGTGATAATTATTGTAGGAAGAAATTAAATGCTAATCACTCCTCCAGTTCAAAGGGTTAACCCTTTCACTTTAAACAGCTAAATATCAATTCTAAGTCTCTGCAATGTCTGTCTGACATTTCTTTCAATTTCTTAATTTTAAGCTGTGAGAATTTGGTGGCAAAAGAACAAATATCTCTCAGTAACTGACCTTTTTCTTACTTCTCATCACTTTTCTGCTTAACAATAAAGTGGCATTGTTAGGAGAAGTTCTGTCTTGGTCACCTCTAGCAGGAATGAATGGGTAAATAAGAAGTAGAGTCTGTTGCCTCTAAATTTAAGGTTTCATGAAATAACACAAGTGCCCTTGGAGCAGTTAATTAAGTACTGACTACTGCCTGCACAACTAACCTACCTAATTTTAAGCCATAGACAAAAAAGAACTCACCCAGAAATGCGATAAGACGTTTACATCGATAGTGGCTGAGATTTCTTCATCACAACAATCCATGAACTTCTTTCCTGTTACGATACCAGCGTTATTAATGAGAAGGGAAACTTCACCCACTTCCTCCTTCACTTTCTCTGCTGTCTTGGAAATTTCCTTCCTATCTCGCAGGTTACATTTGTAAGAGTGCACCACACCATCAGCCGCTTCTATTTCCTTGGCAACAACCTCAAGTCCATCACCATTGACATCCCATATCACCAATTTGCAACCTGGAAAAGAAAAAAAAAAAAAATTAATGATTTTCCTCACCATGACTTGCTGTTGATCATGGTTCAGTTTTATTCTTAGCTTAGTAATTTTAGATTCATTTGTTCTTGTATATTTCACAGAGATATCTTTTCTTGTATGCCAACTCTCCTGCATTATAAAGGAGTATTCCCTGCATTTACGTGGCACATCTCATGGTCTCCCCTAAAGTTGGCTAAATCTCTTGCACAAAAGTACATTTGGATACTAAATTTTCTCTACTAAGTTAAGAAAATTTTATCTTTATTGGCTGTTCTTTTCAAGTAAAATAGTGTTGCATGTCAGAAATTGTTTACACTAGTCTTATAGATAGTGAGAGTACATTGCAACAAATTCTAGGTTAAAGGGAGGGACTACTACAGAGCTGTCAATCAAAAAATTTGAAAGGGGTAGGGGCAACATCATTCAATGTCCCAGATCTCTAGATTCCAGATTTCAATAAAAGAACAAAGGGAAATAAATTTTCAACAAGAAAAAGAACAGCATTAAACTACATCATATATTAAATTGAAGCTGATAAACTCACTACCATGACTGACCAAAGAGAAATTTCTCCTTACTATAAATGTAAATTTTCAATCAGAAAGGTGATGAGAAGAAATACATTGAATAAAGGATATTTTTTTGATCAAAAACTAAATTCTCAAAGGTAAAATTATACAAAACGTACAGCAGACAGTGCAGAGAATTGAGATTCAGATAGTCTGATGAAGTCATATATTTACATGGATCTCTTTTTTGAAATCTCATGAGAACCAATAGTAGATTACAACTCTCTCCCAGTTACTTTCAAACAAGCATAATAAAGATTTCATTACCAATGTTTAAATTATCCCCATGGCTATAGAATTCTTTATTTGTAATTGATAATAGTGGTTAAAAAATTGAGGCATAAGTAGTGGAAAGGTGGTAAGCAGTAAGTAAGCTTTTATATGGGCACAAGTGGCCCATGGGGCCAGTGCTTAACTCCGGTTTTCTTAGCATGATGTGGCTAGGAGTATTGCTACTCCCCCCTGGATGGGATGCTAGTCCATTGCAGGGTTACCCCTAGCACATTTACTGGTACTCATTTGTACACCTGTGTGAAGAGAAGCACTGTGAGAGTAAAGTGTCTTGCCTAAGAACACAACATGACCCCAGCCAGGGCTCGAACCCAGACCACCCGATCTGGAGTCGACCGCACAAACCATGAGGCCACCGTGCCTCCACGTGGAAAGGTGGTAAGGGTAGTTGTTAAAAAAAATTTGACCACTTTACACTTTTCCTTTAAAAATGTCCAATTCCTCTGATGGGCCTTACTGTATACCTACATTTAAAAATCTATCTTACTGTATACTGTTAGTAATATATTTTATGGGTATGTGGTTTCCCTCAATCTTTTCCATTTGGCATCAGCATCCGGTTATTTCATTCCTATTTTTTTTCCAATATGATTTTAGGCTTGACTAGGGCAGCAGCCCACTTGGAGTAAGTTCCAACTGAAATCTTTGATGTTAAGGCAAATAAAAGTCACCTAACCAACTGTTTTCAATAAAATTCGGTTCTCTGATATTTGACGATCATCCTCTTTAGGCAGTATTCCACACACCAAGAACTGCTCAAGATCATAATTATGTTAAATACACAGCACTTTCTGTGTGAAAATATAATCCTTGACTGAGCTAACATCAGTGGTTACTTAGCCCTGTGAAAATATCAGTCATTCCCGATGTTTTCTTCCAGCACTTTCGTTTAAATACTGTTCACTGTTTTTGAAGAGGATTACCGTATTTCAATTTATCAAGTCCGATTAGCACTACAAGAGATGATTTAAATCAACCCCGAAGAAAACCTGTCATGATTTAATTCCCAGATATATGAAAGACCAGTTTAAGTTTCTAGTTGAGAAATTAAAGTGGGAGAAATTCAAGTCTGGAGGGCGAGCTCGCTTCATGGGCATTATGCCTGATCATGGTGTAATATTCATTTGATGGGCAGAAGACAAACCTTTGGCTGCCAATCCAAGAGCAATTAGTCTGCCAATTCCGCTCGCTGCTCCCGTCACCAAAGCAATTTCTCCGCGAATGTTTTTTCTCTGTGGGGGGAAAATCCATTTCATCGCCGACTCGAACACATAGAGCCAAACTCGTAGTATAACGCACGCTATTTCCCAAATCATGCCTATCACATATCCTTTTCCCGTGAAATACAGGGCCAAAAGAATGCCTTGAATGGTCATAAGAGCGTATAGCACATATACCAACGCCATCACACTAAACGAATTGACAAGTTAATCTTTGTAGGCTGATGCGTATGATGTTCGGTGTGCTTTGTTTGGAGGCAGCTGTCTCATTCGATTTCCGGAAAACTGGGGAGAGGAAGTCGGCTTGAATATTGGGAGAAATAAATTTGTTGTTCTCATAAAAGACGCCACAAACGGGAAAAGGTCAGCTCGTCACCCTTAAGAAAAGGGAAATAATTTCCGACTAGCCACTCAAAAATCTAGAGGTTCACTCATAAACGTTGTCGTACATGTAGCTGTCAATTTTTTTCTGTCATAGGCAACATCAGTATTTATAACTTTAAAAGTAAAAACCAAGGTTTATTGAAGAACAAAATGTAAAATATTTTAATTTATTTTCCGATGCTTCTTTCGGCTCAACAGCTGAAATCACTCTATGCCGGCAGAAGAGGATCCACATACAGCACTATTCTTCTTCCGCCATTTTGAATATCCCATATGTCTTTGCACGCATTATTGTGAACCCGCGATATTTTGGTGTTAAGATTGAATCATCTGAAAAGATGAAGTAATTTCGAGAACTGGTAAGGTTAGTTATTTTGCCGTTTTTTTCGGCTACGTGTTACCTAATTTGCTATCACGATGTGATATTTTTGATACAATATTATAAACGTCGCAAATGAGTGGCAACAGTGTTGTTCTGCAACGTGTAATTCGACCAACACCGCGATTTAAATATTCATTAAGGGACTTGTAAAGTCATGTTGGAGAGCTTGGCAGCATGGGTTCTGAGAACTTACGTTGGAGAATACGTGGAAAACCTTAACACTGACCAGCTTTCCATCGGCTATGGTATGTCAGAATAACGTGTAAGCTTGTTTATACTTCTCATTGAAAACCTTTGATCAATTATAGGCGGGATTGTTGCGTTACACATTATCGAATTAATATCGATATGTGTTAAATTTAAACTTATCTTGGTGATATCCCTGGGATATGAACATTTTGTGACTTTAGGAAAGCGTGAGTATGGTTACTGGATACCTTTAGTCCTATTGACCATTAAGTAATTTTTAATTATAATTATTCTGACGAGGTGACTCTTAAATAGACATTCTCCGCTTGGTTATAAAATATGATTTTGTATCGTGCCTGCAAAGTAAAAGTGTGTGCAGCTTTCGGTCTGTATGGGGCACTGTAAGTGGAAAACGTAGTTTTCAATTTCAGGTGGGTGTGTTCACCCAAATGTTAGAAAAGGACACAAATTGCAAGAGCTCTGTCGATTTGCTTGAACAACATCCAGGAATGATGTTATTAATATTTGCTATCTGAATAATTAAAATTAATTTCAAAATATGTATCTCCTAATGGATACATTGCATTTCAATAGTTCATGTATATTTGTAAGGTATTGATGGACATTTGTCCTGTGAGGAGTTTTTTCTTCTAGTTGCTTAATATGACAGCTCAAATATTTACATTAAGGTACATGAGCACCTTATCAATGTTTTCATGTTTTTTTGGTATGTTTTGACTTTCTGGTAATGCAATTGAGGGACAAAGATTTCTGGTTATCTAACAAAAATCTATGATGTTACAATCAAATTGCCTGCTTTGATTCTATGCAAGAAAAAATGTGCAGAGTAGACTTACAAAGTGAAAGTAGTTCCCACTTTACTAAATTTTTGGAAATTAATTTTATTAAAAATGTAAAGAACACCTTTCAAATCACTTTGTTTTGGTAATGAAAAAGGGACATGGGCCATCCCTGTTGGCTTTCTTTCCCACGCTCAAAGTCATTCTTGATTCTTATTGATGCCAAATCTTTTTGCTATATGATATATATTTTATTGACCAAGTTTGTTTGGCCAAGATGGCTGGATATAGGCCATGTTCTTTTTTGTTTTCTGTGCTTTTATGGACCTTGACTTTGTCTTGGTCCACTTAGATGCTAAAAAAGAACTCAGCCAATATCCAGCCATCCTGAGCTCATGCTCAGTCAACAACGCATAATTATATATTTTATGGAGAAATTCAGTCTTGGTCATTCATGGGATTTAAAGGGTTAACTGTTACTTTCATTGATCTTACCAGGTACTGTTGATCTTCATAATCTACCACTAAAAAAGACAGCATTGAAGGGGCTTGAGCTTCCATTAGAAGTTAAATCTGGATTTATTGGTCATCTGCAACTCTCAATACCCTTGCGTCGGCCGAAGTCTGAACCATGGATTGTACATATTAATAAGCTTTATCTTGTTGCTGGCCCTCTTAAACATTCAGAGGTAATGTCAAATTGATGTATGTATATCTTTTTTAGCTTTAGTATTTTTTTTTTCTGTAGCCAATACGATGCTGCTGTCTGAGACTCTTTCAGTGTGGTCTAGTTTGATTTTTTTTTTTTTGGTGAAAGTAATGCTCAAAATACTATAATTATAAATTTGTGCATGCTCTAAAGTCAGAGTAAAACAAAAAAAAAATGAAATCTGCACATTTTGCTTTAATTTTATTTTGTGCATAACAGTGGATCAAAATTGAACACTAACAGCCAGATTACTGGAGGATTCAAACAATTACTCACAGCTCTACTGTAACTTCGTACAATTATTATGATCATTAAAAAAAATTAGCCATCCTAATTTCTTGCACACTCAGGTGTTCATCTTTTGTTTCGAACATTGATCACCTCACTCAGTAACAAATGATTGGGCTTGTGTTAGTTAGTCACACATGTGCATGTACTGGTAGTTCACTCTGTTATCCAAAAGTGGTACAACTGACAGTGATTTAATTTTGTCTGTTTAGTACAATGAAGAAGAGGAAAAGGAGAGAGAAAGGACACGCAAGAAGAAACGTCTGGATGCATTGGAGGGTCAGTGGCTGGTAAGTTGTCTTGGTTCCTTTTTAGACCTGCAAACAGAACAGCATTTTGTACTTCTCATAACAGAATAAACTTAAGTTGATGGAGTTTCAGCTCTGTTAGTGTTTGATGTTAATTTAGCGCAACAATAATTGGTTTAGATCTGTGACTTGTCTGCAGTTTCACTAAGAATCTCATAAAATAACTTGGGAAAGGCAATCAAACATTTGGTAATCAAACCCAGTCAATCGCAATGTAACTCAACCCTAATTAACAACTGCGTCGCTAAGTGGAGGTTGGGTGCCTGAAGCATCCAGGGGCCTCCACTTTTGGCAGCCAGCTCCTAGATGGAGACCTCTCCCATGGCTGGCAAATCCTAGCAACCCAGCCATGAGCCTCTACACAGGAAAGTGAAACAGGCACTTGTCACACTGAATAAACAGTGGAAAGAGGGAGGGAATAGATTGGGAAAACTGCTTGGACAATGAGCTGCCACTCCTCACAATGCTGCAAGTTCAGGCTCAAAGCACGTACTAGAATGCCTCAAATGAAGCGCATGGAATTCTGACACATGCATATAATTATGCAAAAAACTGCTGACTTCTAGAGAATGCTGATGCTCTTTGTTATTAACTGCATTAAATTGCATTTAACTGCATTCAAACCTGTCCATCAGATTGCTTTCTTGCATTTCGTGATAAAAAAAATTGAACAAATTTTTCTGGGAACTTTTCTTTCTGGAAACCAGTCCCAATTGAACAAGTATGCATATTTTTTTACTTTGTTGAGGTAAAAAAATGGAAAGAATTTTATAATAAGAACATTCTTTACATGGATATGCTGTATCATAGCCTTTCCAACCCCATAACAAATTGTAATTATGTGACTTTGGCATAAAAATCATTGAGGTGTGAATTGAGTTGCATGCTGTGGATTTTGTTGGTATAATAATTTTTCGTTCATAATTTTCCATTTCTATAAATGTTAGTCACAATTTAAATAAGGTCATCTAATTATTTGATTTACTTGAACAAAAAGTGTGTTTAACTTAGCCTTTTTCTGGGTCTACTGGGCAGTTTTTGATTGGAGAGTTTCTGAGAAATGTCATGGAAATTTAAATCATTTGATTGCTTTCAATTGTTGTAAATTGAGAGGTTCATTTTAGAGATCTTGGTGAAGAATTTGATCATTTTCTGATTACAGAACTCAACTGAACATATTCCTTGATTGATAAGATTGTGTTCATTTGAGTTTGATTGGAAATTCATACGATTTTGTTTTGGACCATCTACTATGGGTACACGGAAATTGTGCTGTGCAGTGTAATGTTGTAAGGTATGATACCTTTTTCTTTTTGACACAGGCTGGCAGAAATGAGAACAGTGGAGGCTTCTGGTCTGGTTCATGGTGGCCATCCTTGTATTCATCTTTCTCAACAACTATTGTTGAGAACTTACAGGTATCATTTTCAATTGGCTGCTCTCATCCCTCTTTGGCTTTTTCTCTCTTCTTCAACCTTTGTTCAGATATTGTTCTGTTCCTTGTTTCCTCTTTTCCTTTCTTCCTCTGTTCTATCATTTCTCTCATTACTGCTCTTTTATCCTTTTTTCCATCATCCTGTTGTTTTTCAACCCTGTAACCCTGAAGAGTTACAAGCATCTACATGTTATTTCTCCTCACAATATCACCCCTAAATCAAAAAATTTAAAGAAATGATCAGCTACTAGATGTGAAGGAGCTCTTGCTGGTTAGCAGGTTCTCCTTGTCAGCTCTGTAGGAATTATATAAAGAATGGTATGGAGAGTCTTCATGCTGGTGTTAGGCTGTAATGTGTTAATCTCTCTGTTGCTTAATTTGTCTGTTCCTCCAACCCTCTGCTCCTTCATCCATCAGTCCCCTCATCTATCTTATCCATTGTCTTCATCCTTATGCTTCTCAATACTCATGTTTCCTCTGTCATTGTGTTGGTGATCTCTTTGATCCCTGAATTGTCAACCTGAGTTCTTTTCCTATTACTGCATGTATACCACTATACTGTACAACTGTTACATATTTGATTATTATTATTTTTTTTAATTGCAGCTTGTCATTAGTGATGTACATTTTCGCTATGAAGATGCAACAACCAGGGAGTCTGTCCCTTTTTCATTTGGAATAACTATTGAGAAACTCTCAGCTCATTCTACCAATGAAAACTGGGTGAGTGTTGACAACGGGTTCATGAGAACACTCACTACAGTGTTTGTGAGGGTGAAATTTTTTGAGTTAGTGAGGGTTTGAGTTAGCTGATAGTAAATAACTGAAAAAATTGGGCAAGGGAAATCAGGTCTTGTTCAAGTTACTGTGGGGTTTGAGTTAACCATGTGTGAGTTAGTGGGGTTCAGCTGTGTTAAAACAAAAAAAAAATTAAAATGTATGTAACTAGTATTTTTTGTGTTATAGAATCCAGAGGAGATCATCCAAAATGAGCGCACAATCAAATACAAATTGATTGAGCTGCAAAAAATGGCCATTTACTGGGATACTGATGTGACCCTTGTGGGTGATCTACCATCGAGCGATCTTGAGGTGGATGTACTTCTTGTTTTGTATCTGATTATAATTATCAGTAAAAGATGATGCATGATCAAGTTAAGTGGTGCTACTGATACACTACATGTACATGTGCATACCTGATTTAGCAATAATGGAAAATTATGCTAAATCAATAATTATGTCAACTATTTTTCTTTTAGCAAAAGTGTACTTTTTTGTACAGTGAATGATTCATATATATTGATTTACACAAAGGAGTTCTCCTGGCTACTCGATAACATGTCATCAGTTACTCTGGTCAAAATAATTACCTTTTGGCCCTTTAGAAACTTACCCCTTTATTACTTATAATTTGTATTTGTTTCATCACTTTTAACTCCCCTCCTCAGGGACAAGTTGATTACTGTACTTGTGTAGGTCAGGGACTTTGCATCCCCTACATGTATGTCTCTAAAATTTTGTATCATTCCCTTTCATATTTCTTTGTAGAATAATTCAAAGAAAATATAATTGTGCTATTTTGTACTCTACCTATAAGTTGTTATTTTGTTCTTTTTTGTGACCAAGAAGTAAATGAAGTACTTAATGAGCATTGTATCAGATGGCACCTGATCATCAGCATCATTTATGCACATGTGTAAGAATGCATCCTTACATTTTCTGTGGATTGAGGAGATCAGGGCCTCCCAAGACTACTTTGTAGATATCATTCAGCTTCATATAGTTATTACAAGTCATGGTAACAAATACTTTTATTTCAGAATGCCCTTCAACGAATGATTAATAGAAATCAGGGAGAAGCAGGCTTTTGTGTGAGTACTTTAAATTGAAAATGCATTTTTGAAACATTTCAGTCAGGAGAGGAACCTCAAAATGTTAAAACTATAACTACTCCTTTGCATTATTTTTGTAGAAACATCAGTACATCTTGGAGCCGACAAGTGCACAAGCTAAGTTGAAACGCAATTCTAGTGCCTTGCCCCTCAGGTCACGGGAAATGCCACGTTTTGTGGTGGATGTCCATGTGGAGAAGATTCCGTTGTCACTTGAGGAAGCACAGTACAAGATGTTGATTGCCCTTATAGATGGGTTTGAGAGGCATTTCAGACAACGCCATTATTTTAAATGGAGACCAAGAAGTCCTATAAGAAACAAGTAAGGGTGCTGTAGCATAAGTCACCTTTAAGAATTGCTAAGAATTTTCAATTTAGGCTTCTTTGTACACCCTTGTAAATACATGTACTTTCAAGTAGCCCTACTATAATAGTTGCTTCATACAAATGGAAGTAGTTAATTGTGGAAGACAGAACCAGCTGTAATTTCACTTGTTGACATACATGTTGCACTGTAAATTTTTTGTTGGTTCAAAAATTTTCTTGTTTACCAGTTTAGTTTAGTTTCCATTTGTCTCAGATCTTGTCCCAAGATCTGTGACAAAGGTTAAACTTGTTTGGAAAATTTTAAGGTGAACCACTATCCACCAATGTAATGGCACCAACAATAATTCAAAAAGAGGTTGCCTGATCTATATGTCAATCAAGATTTTGCATGAACCCAGCCAAATAAATTACTGATAAATTGCTGATATACTGTACCTGTAAGGGATGCCAAGTTGGTGTCACATGGAAGGGTGATTGTTAAACAAAGATCTGCCTGCAAAAGAACAGCAAAGTGCTGAAGCCACAATTAATAATGCTGGCTTTTCAAATATTGAGTCAAGTCACCATCCTTAAAGCCTCTTACAGTAGGAATGCAATAGTGGGTTTTTCTTCTTTTTTGTTAGTGCAAGGGAATGGTGGAAGTTTGCATTTACATGCATCATGGAGCCAATTAAAGAGAGAACTATGCATCGAACTTGGAGTTTTGCAGTGAAACGAGCTCGTGATGTTGTAAAATACGTGAACTTATATTCACAGCATCTTATATCTGGTTCAGTGGAACCTTCAATCAAGGTACATGTACATTTTATCTGTAAATTGTTTTAATTTTTCCACATTCTAAAATAGGCATGTAGGACTACTTTGTCTTAAGCTGGGCACACTAACCATTGGACTATCATATCCTAGGTTGCAGAAAACATGTCAGTGATAAATTTGAGGAGTAAACTTTATTTTGATGTTATTTAGTATAACATAACAAAATTTGAAACCTGAACAAAGGGTTAATCGCTCATTGCTTTAATATTTCTTTAGGAAGAACAAAATCGCATTGAAGATGAGTTAACATTTGAGGAGCTGGTAGTCTTGAGGTACATTGCACAAACAAGGGCAGAAACTGAAATCAGTAAGGTATATGTATAACACATCACATTATAATTCTTAATTGTGGGGGGCTGCAACTGCAATTGCACTCCAAGGTACTAGAATTCCCAACCGGCCTGCCCAGCCTGCTCAACCTGCAACCCACCTACATGAGCCCCCAGGTCCAAGCTTTTGATAAGCTCCTGATAAGCACCTGTCACACTAGAGCCAGATGGCTCAGGGGAAGTAAAAAAAACAAAAAAATTGAATAAATTAAAAAAATATGTATATAGATATATGAAAAGACAGAGGGGCCGCAGCCAGGATAAAACATCTTATGAAATTTAAAAAACGATCTCTGGCTAAAACTTTTAAGAATACAAGCTTTTGGCTGTTTGCGCTACAGCCTTCAACGGGTAAAATGATAAAAAGGTAAAAAATACTAGGTGTGAAGTACAAAGTAAAAATTAAAAATGCTGATAACTAAGAATGTTTGTTAAAAAGAATGTTGTATTGTCTGGGCAAAGGACAGGAATTGTTGTCCGCATTGGGAGTTAACTTGGAATGCCACACTTCTAGTGTTTTTCTTCATCTGAAACCGCCTTTGTCAATAATAGATGCATTATGCATGTTTTTTAAATTTCATAAAATATATATAGATATAAATCATCAAAACACTAAAAACTGCTATCATCAATGATGACAATGCCATACTATGGTACAATGACGACAGCAAAAGCACATGGGAAAACAGTGCAAGAACAGATAAGAAATACCACTGGACAAGGGTGGCTTCAGGACCCCAACAACCACATGACTACTGAAAATACAACAGAATGCCAAAAAAGCTGTACAAATGCAAACAGACAGCAAGGACACTAACAGCACATCTGCAAAAAGTTACTGACCAGATTTGCTCCCAGTTGTTAACTTTGTTAAATTCCATTTACCTCTATTCAATTTCAATCTGGCAAGCTTTGAGCATAGAGAAATGCTTACATTTTTTAAATGGTACATGCACTTATTATGGATGAAATAATTTGAACTGAGGGATGCACAGTGGAAGACTTCAGTTACTGGTCAAACAGACTGCTTAGTAGAATTACTTTTGAATGGATTTTTTTTAAAATACAAAATAGATGCAGATTTTTTATGTACTTATAATCTTAGTTTGTATCAACATTTTTTAGCAGATGCAACCAGACAGTGAAGTTCAAGATTTACATAAGAAGGTACAAGACCAGGCTACTTCTGCCTCAGAAGGAGCATCTGGGGGTTGGCAGGGCTGGTTAACAGGATGGTACAGCTGGTACGGAACAGATACTACAGATGGAAGAGCACCTGGGACAACAAACAAGAATGATACAAGTCAAATGTTCATGGGAGAGCCTCCTACTACCAAAGGTAAGTGAAACACTGGGAATCAGTACACGTGTGCCTCAAGTACATGTAAGGGGTGCTCTTGGTTGGGCCCCAATACAGGTATGGACTGAGTTTATGGCACACCGTGACTTACTGTTTGGCTTCTGAGAGCCTCATAACAATGTAGGGAAAAGTTTTTGTTTTGTTGCTTTTTTATCACACTGCTTCAATTGAGCAGAATTCTGTTTAAATTTGTTATTCAGCACTTGAAATTTATCCAAGGCTGAGTTTTCCAATATGGTAGTAACTACAGTTGGCAAAAAAATTGTTGACACATTGACATGTACAACCCCTTATTTATTTTAATTTTAGCTACAGGCAACATTGAATGGGGAGGGGGGTCATTTCAATGATTTAGAGTGTGATAGAAACAGGAGTGTTTTCTACACGTAAATAGAACTCTTCAAACATGATGTGTCCACTCGTTTTGAATCTGATTGTAGCTTAACCTGCATATGTTAGTATTCCAGAGCAATGAAGTATTAGCCCTTGTGTAACTTCTCTCCACTTCTTGATGTGGTATGACTTACATTTATCTCCACATTGGTACATCGAATGCTACTTTTTTATTCTTATCACATTTTGACATTATCTAGCTGTCTTCTTTTTCTGAACAGACACACAGCAAGATGGAAATTATTTATTAGATTGATATTATTGGAATTTCTTTGTTAATCTTTGTATCTATCGTTTTGCAGAGGAAGAGGAGTTCCTTGGTGAGCTGGCTGATAGTCATCTCAGTGAATCCATCTTCAACAGAGATCAAGTGTTTGCACAATTGAACTTCAGATTGGACACAGGATCCTTTAAATTGGTCAATACCAAACAATCAAACTCTCTTCCTCAAATAACAGCATTATTGCCAGTTGTTGAGGTGGAATTTTCAGACTTGAGTTGGGCTTCAGAAATGCGGCCTCGCTCCAGCACTTGGGAGTTCAGCATGAGTCTGGGGGCTCTTTTTGTGCGAGATAAACTCACCACAGGAACTCTGTTTCCAGCTTTGGTTTGTCCTCAAGGTAGAGAGTCTCAGGTATGTCACTGATTTTTGAAATGATAGATGTTTAGAAGCTAGGTGTAGATAGTAAGTAAATTTTGCCATATCATACACCATGCATGACCAATAATTTGGTCTCTTTATTTCTTCTTTACTTTAAGCTGATGGTTGTCATTAGTTGCCTTTTTAAAGTACTTTTTACATAATATTATGTGTAGAGCTGCACTAGAAATCAGGATAGAGATAAAAAAGACTTAGATTTTTCCCTTTTCTGAGATAGCAGTGCTTCTTAAGCTGTCCATGTATATGTACTTATGATGTTTCATTTTATTGAAAACTGATACAACAGAAAGTCTCCCTTACCAAGAGACAACAAGCAACAGTTGTGAAAGGTTCAGTTGAAGCAATGGTAACATCTGCAGCAACTTTGGGACTCAATATTTTACAAGACATGAATGACCCAGTGTTTAAAATGAAATTTGAATCTCTTCCACCTGCAAGTAAAGTGGGTTACAGGTTAGCTTTAATCTTCCAACATTCTATTTTGCTCTTGTCTTGCATTGTGTACTTCTTTACTGTTACAGTAAAAGTTTTAAATAGTCTTTTTTTTCTTCTAGTAATCACCAATCTACTTGGTATGCTTAGCTCACATAATTTCATTTTCTCTTAGCTAACAACATTTGAAACATGGTCTCACTACAACTTTGTAACTTAGGATCTTGAATCATGATTCAAATGTCCTTTTCTAGGGATTTTCACTCTTATGTTGGTGTTATTTTCTTGACACATTTACAGTACTTCCAAGTATATGTGCATTTTGCTAATTGATGGCATTGTTCATTTATCATCCTCAACATTTCAACAGAGTGATGCCAAAGGAAATGATCCAATGTTTATCCAGGCCCTCTTAGATTGTAGTTATTCCTTTGATTTATCTTCAAATAATGAAAAAAAATTGGGAAATTTAACCACACCTACGGTACCTCTAATTTGAAGTTTGATTAGAATTCTATGGAGTTACGGAATGCCTTGAGGATCGTGTGAGATAGCTTGGGCAAGCATTGATCAGTCTGGCAAGACTTATTGCTTGTGGCGTAACCGGTAATATACATGTACACATGGGTGGTTAGGTCACCATCGTAAACTAGATCTTGGGTTTCTCAATGATGGCTGGTTTGCTGTCAGTTAAATTTTGCCATTTTGCTGGTAGCCCCTCTGCCTGCAAGGACTTGTATGTCTTGAATCGACTTCCCCAACTTGGTGATGCCTGCCTTTCTAGAATCGGTTGACTTCACAACAGCAGTCAATGAAAATGTCTGGAAAACATTCAATAACTTAAGCATGTTTTTGTTAACTTGTTGACTTGGAGGCAGTTGATGTAATTGTAATTGAAATGTACCAAGCAGTGATCTATTAATGCCTAACCTATCTCATGTGATCCCCTGGCAAGGTAACGAGGTAGAATATACACATGTATATATCAGAAGCACAAACCCCAACCCTGAAATTTACTTTTTTGTTTGGTACTGTTTAGATTATCAGTAACCACCCAACCTCTGGATGTTGTATACAACCCCACAGTGTTGAATCATGTCGCCGAGTTCTTTTCCCACACGTCAATGGAAGGTGCTCAAGCCCTTTACATTGAGAGACAGCTTCGTGAAGTAGCACGTGTCAGATATGAGGAACTGAAAAACCAGACCAGACATGAACTAGTTCAAACACTTGATACAATGATGGATGGATCAGATGTGGTAATGATGTCCTGTGGCTCACAATCATGTATATTATGTAGAAGACGGAAATTTAAACTGGCTCCTTTAATTGGAAATGGACCTTATACTTTTGAGAACCTTTTTTCGCCGATTTTCTAGTACATTCTCATCTTTAGGATCAGTTTTATCTTGCTATATCGGAAGGAATTTTTAAATTGCAGTATCTAGCTGACTGGCAGCCAGGTACGGTCTTAGATGTACTAAATGCCCGGCAGTTAGAAATGTTCATAGAAATTCCTCTGAAAGTTCTGTCAAACTTCTTAAGAGCATCAGATGTTTATTTGGCAATGTCGAACGTTTCCAAAAATTACCTTTTGTCTTCGTTGTGGATGAATTTTTCGCGCTAGTGCATATCGTTAATATCGCTACGTCATCAACACTAACTTGATCCCTTTCTTATTTAAAGTTGTTTTTGAAATTCTCTTTCATTAATTTTTAATGGTGACTGATCTTGATTTCCCGCTCCCAGTGGTTGTAAATTGTACTCAATAGTTCACCACAGAATCGCAACTTATATTATTCAATGAGTGTGAAATGCAACAACAGTGAATCGTTGAGCCAAATATTATTCGCATGTGTTGTAGGGCCATTCAAAGAGGTGGGATATTCAACTGGACATTTCTGCACCTAGATTTCTTGTTCCAGAAAGCTTTCAGGACAAGAAAGCCTCAGTGGTGGGTTCCATATACTTTTTCTTGAGTATCTTACACTGTTTTCCAGCAATACTTGAGACTGTTGTTTTTATCTTTGGTATTAGTTAAGATAAAATCCGTGTTCCTTCATTACGTAAATGCACATGCATAATGTATTATTTTGTGGATCTTGAAATTTTTAGTGCTTGATTTCAGTAACCTCTGTTGTCCACAATATTTTGTTGTCAGAGCATTCTTTAACATTAAGGTGCCACCTTTCTTCATCAGGTTTTGATAGACTTTGGGCACTTAAGTTTTGCAAACACTCAAGCTCTTAACAGAAAGAAAACAATTTCAGAGGGTCAAGACTCAAAACCCGAAATGGAAGGTAAATATTTTAAAAATTGGAGGTGTTAATTTCTATTTCATTTTCAATATATACCTTTGTAGCTGCTGGAAAAAGTGTGGAGCACTATAAAGCCCCAAGGGAAGTACAGATACATGTAAAAACAGGAAAAATAAAGACAAGAAAGGAGCCTTGCATGCGTTACCTTCTAAAGAGAACTGAAACTTTAAAACAAAAGGAAACAAATTAAGTGAAGTATGATGTTTCTTTAATCTCAAGAAAGTCAAAACACAAATTATTCATTGTATTCTGACTCGAATGGTTCATGAGGTCAGAATACTTTACAAATTGTTTGTACTCCAAAGCAAGTTCCATGTGCTTAATGACCCTCGTTTCCTAATTTCTCTCCTTGCAATGTAAAATATGGGATCCTCTTGCAGTTATTTTAATTTGGAAGTTGTAGGTAAAGCACTAAGTTTCTTTTCTCATGTTCACGATGCAGATGATTCTTTTGTGACCCCTCCCAGTACCCCTCCGGTAGAGGAAGAAGAGGAATTTATGTCAATCAGTGATACAGCAGATGGTCTTCTCAGTGGAGTGAGTAATCAGACTATCCTTGAGAAGATGTACGAAAGGTATGCTGCAATTCATGTCGCTTGTACGTTTTTCAGTTTCCATTCGATGTATTGCATGTATTAAATTCACTGAGCACCAACAGTGAGCGAGATAACAAAACAATATCAAATTAGGTACAATAAGGAGGAAGTTCAGCTGTCAGACCTTTTTGGGGTTGTCAGAGATTTGGTCTTGGGCATGGTGGCCAGCGGAGCACACCCTGCTAATTGTAATACAGCGGTCAAACGTCGGGCATGCGCAGGAGGATCAAATTTGGCTACCCGCGCGCCAATTTCTCGCGCTAAGTCTTGAAAAGAAATCATAACAAGCAATTGCTGTCTCGCAAAATAAGCGAAAGAAAATTGGGACGTTCATAGAAATCTGTAAAAGGACAACTCAAGGCTTTCGAACTCAAGGCTTATTGAGTTACGGGTATCCTGTTGATTTTCTATTCTGTTTTGAGCTGCATTAAAAACGTTGTACGTTTTTAACACACGGTGACTTAAGGGCTTGTTTGGGTGTGTAACCTGTGAGACAACTTGGTCCTGACAGCCTAAAGACATGCCATGTAGTTATTACAAAGTCAGTCGCATATGCGCAGACGTTTGATCGTTTTGTTAAGTTACTCTAGGTCTGGGAAACGAACCCTTGGGCATAGCGGCCAGCGGAGCAAACCCCGCTATTTGCGCTTTACAAATTAAAATGGCTTTGCTCCGTTAAATGGACTCCTGAAGTATTCTTGTTTATTTTGGTTTTGAGGTACACCCTAGACTTATCCGACATTCAAATGGTGGTGTGCAATGTAAAGGAGAACTGGTCAGAAGTTGCCAGCAAACCATTCCTTACAAGTGATGCTCATGTTGTGGAAAAGTTTACAATATCAATCCAGCTGGAAAGGTGGGGAATAATTTTGAGTGGTCAGAATACGTATAAACTTGTAGGTGCCAGTTCTCTTGCTTGAAAGTATAAAGTCTATCAAACATTGAGTTAAGTTTGTTTATACTGTTTTTGCGGAGAGTACACTCCTATACGATCGAAGCTATTTTATCATTTTTTTTAATCAAATATTTTTTAGAGAAAGTTATTTTGTATCTTGTGCAGGAGACTTCTCTTTACTGCTGATCCCCTGTATCCGGCAGTAAATCTTCATGCCAAACTACCAAGTTTGGTACTACACATCAATGAACACAAGGTAGGGGAGGAGGACTTGACACTGTAGTTGTACCAAATTAAGCCATTTAACACACCGAACAGGTGAACAATGTCTTCTTCATAAGTCTCCTTTGCAGCGGTTACTAGGGAGTTTAAGAAAACCACGCGGGCAACGACAACGGCAACGGCACTAAACAGAAAGTTAAATGAGCAGATCAATGGTTGTGCAAGTACGTTATAAATCTTTGTAAATTTCTTTGCGTCCTCTGCAAAACAACAACTTTGAAATGACCAAACTTACCGTTGTCTGGAGAAGGTGAACGACGACGGCTAATTTTTTTAATTTCTATTTCTAATTTAACGCTGTGTTCCATATTCAGTTTCGAGATAGTTTTGTTAGTGAGAAACAAACTAAATGACTCTAGAGTATCGCGAGATTCGAAAGTAAAATATAAGTTCATTTCTTAACCGACGATGTCTACGGTGTCGCCGTCGTCGTTTCTTAAATTCCGTATTGGAAGTCCCTACGAGAGAATGGACTGCTACATGTACTGTAAATACTGTCTAGTAACGGCTGCACAGGAGACTGTCCTTTATGCGGTGACTTACCAAGCTCACCTTATCGTTGTAATGTGTCTAAGATCGTGCTCCAACGGGATCAACTCTTTCAACTACAACTGATAACTGTTTTGAGTTGAAACGTAGTAACTCCAAGGAATAGTCGTTAGCAACCTTCTCCGCATAAGCAGGTTGAGCGGAGACTACAGTAAGTGACGGACAATTTCTGTCTTATGGCTCGATTCATAATTTAAGTAGTTTTCACGCTCACTAATTTCCTTACTTTTTTTTATCCAGTGTTTCGAAAGGCACGAGTAACTCTTTTATTCTGTTTTTGTTTACAACGAGCGTGACGGCCGGCTACTAAAGTCCATACTTGACTTCAATAAGCCGGCCAAATCTACACCAGTCGCTGCCCATGCTTCCGCAGTCGTTTCAACCTGGTTTGAATGGCAGTTGAAAAAAATTGATCAACCAAATTAACCTAAAACGGATGATTCCAGTGGGACACGACCTAACCTTTTTCTCTTTCTTCTGTTAGCTTCAAACCTTAACAAAGTGTGTGAAACAGCTGAGTAGACCGAAGGCATCCAACCCCACACCACCACCAATGACACAACAACGAATTATTGCCAGTTCTACTCCACTGCCCCATGTCGAAAGTGAGGAGATTTGTTTATTAATGACATTGTTTGATTGACAATTTGAACGATGTTTACAGTACCAACACTTTTGTAGTAAAAACTTGCAGTCCAGAAACTAGATAATTGTATATCAAAGATATAAATCCTCCTAATACAGTTTGGAAAATGTAAAACCACATTGAAATGCTGTCACTGGTAAGATTTGTCGGATCAGTATCAGTATCTGGGCAACTGCCCACCACATCCTCCCCTAACTCAACAACAGTCAATTGACAACAACTTAAGGTTAATGTTGGGTTAGGGAAGGGGTAGGTGGGCAGTTGCTCAGATACTGATATTAATCCGATTTCTCTTGCTATTCATTATATTATTGCAAAGGTGTATTTGCTATCAACCCTAACCAAAGTAAGTGTTATCTCCGTTTTCCAAAAATTTCGTCATCAAATTTAGACTTTCGTATTATAAGTTCCGTTAACATATAAGCTATACTTTGTTTCATTATTCCAGTAAGATGTAATTCTTTTTTAAATATTTGAGTGCGCGCGGCCAATCGGTTGAAGACTGCAACATCTATTAACTTATCTGGTCCAGCCCCCATTTCAACAAGTGTCTTTTTCAATTTTTAAAGGAATTGACAGCAGCATGGATGATGTGTACTACAGTTTGTATAGTAGCAGTATCACAATTCCTGACATGGTGAAGGATTCGCCAACCAGGTACTGTCAGAGACCAAAAGAGTTACCTTGTCAGCCACTATGAACACACTTGTAAACTGCTGGGCTCAGTTGTATAAAGGACGGATAACGTTATCCAACGGATAAATTGCTATCCAGCAGATAAGTGATAGCAAAACGTACTGCACCATTTACCGGACAAAGATCTACCCAGTGGATAACGTTATCCAACCTTCGAACAACCGATGCCAGGCTTTTAAAAGCCAGTCAGTAAAAACGGTGATGATGGTATTGACTTTATTTATGTTATTGTTTAGGCGAATCAGCAAGTCCGCTGTAGATACAACATTGGAAGATAAAACGAAAGAGCTCATGGAAGAATCTAGAATGCTACTTGTTCAGTTCAGTATTGACAGAGTCTCCTTAGGTGTTCACAGCATGGGTAATGTTTTTGTTTACAATGCTTCATGTTCAGTTCAGTATTGACAGAGTCTCCTTAGGTGTTCACAGCATGGGTAATGTTTTTGTTTACAATGCTTCATGTTCAGTTCAGTATTGACAGAGTCTCCTTAGGTGTTCACAGCATGGGTGATGTTTTTGTTCACATTACATCTTGTTCAGTTCAGTATTGACAGAGTTCGTCCTTGAGTGTTCACAGCATGGTTAATGTTTTTGCCGGTTTACAATGCTTCTTCCCAGTAAAAACTCAGCAACCTCAGTGGTCAAACTAGCCTTAATTAGAAAAGTGGTGTCGTTATTGCAACTTACGTGTCATTGACCTTTGAAAGTTTTGTTTGACACCCTGCTTGCACAATATGTCGTTGGGCGTATTGAGTTTATAGTTACTCGTAGTAAAAACTGAGCCATTTATATATATGTAAGTGTATTAAAGAAATTTTAAACAAGTTTTTCCAGCCATAGATTCTAATGCCATTTGCGTGAGACTTGCAATCTGTTTGTACTTACAGGTTGCTTGATAGCTGAGCTTCAAGTGCTTGGAGTAAAAGCATGCCACTTGAAGAGACCTTATGATTCAGTCACATCTTTTGCTGTTCATGGAGTGCATCTTGTAGATGCGATGCAGAGTTTTGGCCCTGACTACGAACTGCTTCTGTCTTCATGCAAACCTCACCTCACAAAATCTCCAGGAGACAACACTGTTATTTCTTCAAAAAGTATGTTACCAGCTTCAATTTAGGTGGAAGCTTTTATTTATTTTTAATTACTCCCCCCGCCTTCCCCCCAACTAGGTGTGATCGGAAACAGGATTAGTTCAGTTTTCACCATAAATTTGTTTTATAACAGTAATTACAATGGTCAGTCAAATTAAAGGTCAGAATCACAAGGAGTCAGTGAGTGTTCAAAGTAATTACGAGCGCAAGAAAACACGATTTGTTTTTAGTAGAGGTTGCAACTGAGCGAATGAAGGGGTTCGAATTGTTTTTATCTCAGCGCGTTGTAAAAACCAAACCAATGCAAAGTCCTTTCAACATTTGATGGAAAATGTACCAACACCTTATAAGTTCCCTCTACTTATCAATAATCCGACAAAGTCTTGTCGAGCCAAGTGATTTGTTGCTGACCAAAGACTGCAGACTTTTATGCAGTTGGGGAATCCTTTTACTACTTTCACATGCATAAACGTATTTATCTAATTAAACGTATATATTATTTATTTAAACTTCTGACCGTGTTTTCGCCTTTAGTGGGATTCTCTTTGAGTTAACGCGTATACCAGCAGTAGACTTTGTTTGTGATATTTACTTTTCCTTCATGATAGATTCTAATTCTAGCCACCACTTCCAGAAGGATCTATCCCAGTTTGTTTTGTTACCTTGTAGGTGAAAAATCTTTCTCAGAGACGATAAGCAGCGCATTTTCCATAGTTGCTGATATTGTGAGGCCAGGCTCTAAGAGAAAATGGCAGGACAGTGATGCTTCATTCTCAAGCGAAACTACAGCTGTAATGGAGGAAGAGGATCTAATCACATTTGAATACCAGCATTATGATGCTGACAGCCCTTCTACCAAAAACAGAAATAGCAGTGGTGTAAATCTAGTGACTCTGAATTTCAACAAGGTCAACGTAATTGGTATGTGATACAACCACTTTAAGTTATGTAGGATGAAAGGATTGCCTTTGTTTGGGTAGTCCTTCATATACTGATCAGGGACCATTTTGCAGGCAATACTGTTTAGATGTCTTGAGTCAGCCAAAACGATAAAAGGCGTTCTGCAACCCTCAACGGACAGTTGAAAAACAAGCAACCCCCAGTACGTTTTATCTCGCTTGTGCCGGGCTCTCAGGTAGTGGAGATGCCAAAGTGCAACAGCGGGTGAGCGAACGGTAAAGTCTCTTGAAGGAATGACGAGGAAGCTTTATATAGATCCCCAACGTTTTTTCCTTCGCCCAGTTCTTTTCCTCGTTTTAACAAACTGTGTTCTTGGAAAAGGCTACATCTTGTCGCGACGAATAATGTGTTGGCAGAAGTTTAAGATCTCATTTGAACTTTGATGGCGCAATTTTCAAAATGGTACTGAAGGTCTAGATGGAAAGATGGGCAGTTTTTATTTTCAGTATTTCCAACCCATACGTTTTTAATCGCAGTGGTGGAATCACTGCAATTAAAAACGTATGGGCGCGATTTTACAATTCTGGTTTAATCATAATTGGAAATGTAATAACTTTCTTTTTTATGATAGCAAACCAAGAAACCCTGGCAGCATTGGTTCAGTTCTTCAACACGGCATTTACTTCTGGTGAATCTGATGGTAGTTTTGGAGATTTGTCAGCATTGCCAGAGGAGTCTGCTACTGATTTCTACTCACCACAGCCTGATGTAAGTTCAAACGCTCATAACGGTGCTTCTGCGGTTTGAGCAAAATGTCAAATACCTGCTCCGGGTCATTTAGGCGCACTTCAAGTTGTTTTTCAAAAGAAAAAGAGACAAGGAAATGTAATTTCTCTTTGTACAAAATCTTCCTTAAACAATTTTTTTTAACGATATCATGTTCAGAAGATTAAAAGTAAAGCAAGAACCAGGGAATGTGACGTACGTAAAACGCTTAACTTTTTTTTTGAGGTTCCCGGGCACCAGTTTGAATAAACGCTATGGGAGGGGGGGTTTAGAAAATTTTGACTGGGACACGTTGCCCCCTAGCTGGAAATCCTAGATCAGACACTGCTTATCGCTGATAGCCTATTGTGTTGGTTTTTAGGATCAAGTATCCGAAGTGACAGAAGTGACTGCGTCCTTCAAGTCGATTAACGTTCTTGTTATAAGGAGCATTAAGGCGAACGGTGTTAAATCTGTGCGAAAGGTGGCGGAAGTGTCCGTTAGCGAAGTTCAACTGAATGCCTCTCTTGGAGAAAATCAGAATATCGATGGCTCTCTCGGAGGTCTCAGAATGACTGATCTTACTCCAGAGGGCTCCCTACATCGCTCTGTGTATACATGTGGAAGCCTCGGCGGAGGAGATGTTTCCCCACGAGACTCACCGTATTTAGGGTCATTGCGAGAAGACATGTTAGATGAACCTAGCGATCAAAAGGCTTTTACATTTACACTCTTAATTCCAAAGAAGGGTGGACAGTGTCCCGTTATTGCTATAGATGAAGGTTACGAAGGGGACTTGGATAATGCAGAGATTGCAAGAAACATTCAACTCAACGTACGCATGGCTTCCGCTCAGTACACTCACACGCACAGGTTCCTTTCAGAACTTTTATTATCGGCAGGAGATTATGCTGAATATGCTACCCAGTTTGGAGAAAGTCTGCGACAAGCTGCAAGTAATGTTGCTATGGGTCTTGTAAGTAAGAAAAGAGCGTTGGCAGAAGGACTTGGTTATCTTTCCTCGTCGTTTGTAACAACTGCTGCACAAGATGACAGGAGTTTGGGAAGTCGCCAAGGTAGCATATTCTTCGAAGGTGACAGTGACTATCTTCAAGAAAGTTGTGACTTTGTGGACAATGTTCCTGTGAAACCCAACAGAAGAGTTTACACCTGCATCACGGTGGACTCGCCGGTTGTTCAGCTGCCAACGTCGTCCTCAAGTACGGAGATTCTTGTTGCTCATTTAGGCAGCATTACTGTGAGGAACACGCATTTGATAGAACTTGTGGAACAGGAAAGTGACACGGGGCACCTAACTGGTGTTGAGTATGACATTGATCGATTATTTGTGGAAGTAAAGGACATGAGCTTGTACTGCACAGCAATGGATACAAGTAGATCAGGAAGAGCGTCTTCATCGTCGTTTTCCGAGTCATTTGCAAGCTCAAAAAATTTGCATTCACCCAAATGCTGCAGCGTGCACATACTTCACAAGTCAGCATTTCAACTTATTATTGACCGTCGTTCAGAAGATGTGGGTGCATTGGCAATGGGTGTAGGTTGTGCGTCTTTGAACTTGAAAAAACCGACGATTCAAATGTCGGGAAAGGTCACCACTCCATTAAAACTTGAATTGTCAACTCAATCCTATCGTCAGCTTTTTGAGACTATAGATAACCTTGGCGGTAGTAAGGAAGCAGTGCCCATTCCTCCGGCAGCTGGGATGCATAGTTCCTCCATAGCTAGTCCCAATTCCCAGTCACCAAGCACTCTTTCTCCAAGGTGAGCCTTTTTCTGTCTTTCTCCCAATTATTTCCGGCGATTTTCAAAATGACAGAGAACGATTTTATGCAAAGTGCTATAAAAGTATTTTTAGGGTTTTTTGATATGAGTCACACTCATCTTCCTAAAGAAGAGTTACTCATTTATGTATGTGGCATAAATGAGTAACTCTTCTTTAGGAGTCGTGACTGTTGACTTCTAAAGAAGTTATTAGTTTCTCCTTTTTTATGCTGTCTGAATGATGTGATTATCTAGACTTTCAGGGACAAATTACAAATTCACTGCTCCTGTCTCATGGGTGATAAGATAAGTGCCAAGGTTTGTTTTTAATTTTAATGTATATCTTTTGTTTTTTTTCAGTTCATCAGCTTCGAATCTACAGGCTTGTATTCCTGACAAGGTGCTGCCAGAAAAGCATGTTACATTTATACCTAATCTTGTGGAGGAGAACATTCATGATGAGTCAACTGCTCACTTTGAAAGTGAATCTGATGACCCCACTCCAATACGTGCATTATTTGAAGTGCCGCACTTAAGCGTCAAGCTTTGTGGTGAGCTCAACAAAATTGATCACGACTTTGTTGACATAATGTTTTACGACTTTAATTTGGCTTATGAGCACACAAGACCAACTGTTACTTTGTTCAATGTCTCTCTCGGCGGTCTTCTTGTGGAGGATCTGCTCCAGGAGCCAGAATCTCCCTATCGTTATCTCATTTCGTCTTCTGCTCCACGCCAACATCACTTCAGAGAACGTTCTCTGTCTGCATACCCTTCAAATCTTTCCTCATCTTGTCCTGTCGTTTCTGAAGCTGGTCTTCGCTCGAATTTTTCTTCATCACTTCCGCACTGTCTTCCTGCTACATCCAAACAAGGGCCATTTCGTTCTTTGGCTCCGTTGAGACCTTTGTTAAAGAATCAAAAATTTCCTTCCATGCCTTCTGTTAATGTCACCTTGGACAGCGAATCATTGGGAGAAGACTTGGGTACTTCAAATACAATCATTAAAGACAAGAAAAGAAATAGCCTTGTACACATCAATGTCTTTTTGATTGACAAGAAAGATGAAGAATTTAGTACCAAGTACAACTCGGTAAGTGCCATGCGCAGACTCATGTTCACTGCATTTTGACTACAGTCATATTACAATACCGCTTTTGTGCACTGGAGCATCTTCACGCGCGTCTGTAATTTGTGGGAATTACGCGCACTTCCAGTGCTTGTAGTTACGCGCGTGCAATAGAAAAATTTCACTCAGGCAGTGGTTTCTACATGAATACGTAATTACGCGCAGTGTGCGTGTTTCGCGCGGGAATGCGTGTGTCACGCGCGTGTAATGCTGCAGTACACGCGAGCGGTACTGTGTTATGAGACGGTATTATGTTCAGTCATTGTTTCAGTGTTGTTTGAAGTTTCTTTGTCTAACATTGCGTAACCCTTTAAGGTTCATTTTTTCAGTGAAGGTTGGCAAGGTCGGACCAGAATAGAGATCCAAGCTCTACTTCGTCATGCTTGCATCATGAACAGCAATTACAATATTAGAGGACACTCTTTCGAGCATCCTATTGCGTTTGGTTACCTTGATTTATATTTTATTGAAAAGTTTGAAAAATTTTAGTTAAGTTTATCCTAGAAGTTTTAGTTCAATTACCAATACCACATTTGGATTGACATACCGTGCATTCCTGCTTAGCTCACTATTTGTTAATTTATTTTTTCTGTTTTGGGTAGGTTAACCGAATCATAGAGGTGGACTTCAATTCTCTAGAGGCAAATTTAAATTTACAAACTTGGGTAATTGTGTTGGAATTCTTTGGAATTGGTGTTCCACAGCAGCTATCTGCTTCTCAGCCGTCAAGTCCAAACCCCTTATCTCCACAACCTCACGAACTAAGTGACAATGTGTACGAAAACCAAAAGGACACTCAAATGGAAGGTAAACTCTCATTCCAGTGATACAGTCATTACATTACAGGTTAAGTTGACATGGTCGAATGTTCTTTGGGCCTCAACTAGATTTGCGTTCGGTAGCTCAGGTTAAAATAATCCTTCTGCAGCTACTAGTAAACAGTCAACTGGTTTGTCTCATTTTACCCTCCTCGCTGAAGTTTATACAAAGTGCTCAGTTAGCCTAGAGATGCCTCGATAAAACTCTAATGGTGTAGTCCTCTTACCTTGTTATTCTTGATTTTGTATTGTTTAAGAAGTATCTTTTAATTCTTCGATAGACAAATAGTTTGCCTGACATAAAAACTTCGCGACGTTGCCGCCAATTTTTTTAAAAGCAGAGAACCTTATCATAAATTGTGAAGCAAAGGAATTGTTTACCTTTGAGGCGACGTTGTAATTCTACACTGAGAATCACTTTTATGATTAAATGAAATAAACTAAATTTAAAGAAAGCGACAAAACTTTTGAGTTTGTAAAACATGTTTCCACAGAAATTTCTGTCATCTTCAGTTAATTACCGTACAAAGCGTCGAAAGTTGAATTATATAGTGAGTAAAACAATGCTATGACAACAAGAAAAGAGGTAAAGCATGAAAGTGTGAGAATTAAAAGGAAAGTTTTAGATTTACATGGTGTAATTGTTGATTCAAGGATGGTTGTTTTCTTTGAATATGAATAGCCTGTTTTATCTTGAGCTGAAAGCCGGTAGAGGCGTGATCTAAAACATAGAAGTTATCTGTAGAACACAAAGCGCAACAATGTGGAGAATCTTTCAGATGCCTTAAAATGTGAGAGGCCCTGTCACTGACTAAGTGCTCTCTAACACGTGTGGAAAAATGCCGGCAGGTTTCACCGACGTAACAGGTATTACAGCCAGTACATACAAACTTATAAACCACACGTGAACGGAGCCCGTCAGGGACAGGGTCTTTCACACCAAACAAGTTACCGATTTTGAAGGAAGAGAAAACCAGTTTGATATTCAAGTCATTGCAATAGCGCTTAATAAAATGGCCGATCTAGCAGAGAAGTGGCCAATGTAAGGTAGCTTAAAGTAGAACGTAGGTGAAGTGGTAGGAAGGGAATCCCGGGGATGATGATTGTTTTGGGTCCCAGTGATGTAACGGTTTATAATCTTCTCGATTAAATGAGCTGGGAAAAGATTCTTTTTTAGAATATCAGTAAGATTGTTAATGTCTTCGCGAAACCCTAACCAGGTGTTATTAATCTTGTAAGCCCTATCATCATTAAGACACTCGTTGATGCTTTACCCTTTTTCTTGTTGTTACTATTCATCTTAATTAGCATTGTTCTACTTACCATATAATTAAACTTTCAACGCTTTGTACAGTAATTAACTGAAGATGACAGAAGTTTCTGTCAAAACATGTTTTACAAACTTAAAAGTTTTGTCGCTTTCTTTAAATTCTTGACTTGCCAGCTGATATCAAGATCCTTTGGAAATAAACTGAACTGTTTTATCTTGAAAGGTATAGAACAGACAGAGGCCGAAGGCATAAACACTGATGTCAAATTTCAAGTGTTGTCTTTGACTTTGACGTTAAGTAAAACAAGATATCCCATAGCAAAAGTCAATGCCTTTGGGCTGTCCACGGAAGTAAACATGAACGATGAAAACTTTGTTGCCAAGGGCAGATTATCAAGTATATCAGTGACAGACATGTCTCCACATGGATCTCTGTACAGGGAAAAGTAAGTCACTAATTTTAATGACGGTGTAGTAATAGGCAGCTAAAAAGCAACAGTAGAATGTTTGTCTTATTCCGGTCTCTGAACCAGTTTGTTGATAGGATGTGGCCCAACATATACATTTTAGGCGTTTGTTTGGGTGAGTGAATGGCATATTGAATTTAGGGGACCAACTGACAGTTTTTGACTAAAAAGGAATTTATTCTACCACGCCTTCTATGAAATATGAAATATGTTTACTCAAGTTTCAACAATGGGCATTTCAAGTCGGCCGTTTTTAGTGCTTGTCAGTGTTTTCCATCCTTAACCATGCGCTTTCTGGTGCATTTTTAAATTTTAGATGTTTTTCTATTTTGTGAACTCACTGTTTGCGTTTTCCTTCATGATAAATTTGCAAGGCGCACATAACTATCTTAAGATGCAAAATGGAACAGTGCGGTCCATCTTTGATGTGTTTGGCGTTTGTCATTTGGAAATACAAAGGGGAAATTATCTGTCAGTTAGTTAGAGTAAAGACCCTAAACTCTGTTATTGGACGTATTTACATGTAATAAATATATTTAATCGTTGTTACAGAATAAGCGAGATTCTTTGAAGTTGTTTCCTTCATATAAGTTCTGTTGCACACTTACTAACTTGTACATTTTCATCAGATTTACAACGTTTGGAGATGAAGCTCTGAGTTTTAATTTCCTTAAGTATGGTGCCCCAGATCCTGACTTGCAGAGGGAGAATGACATGAGTCTCAAATTACGGATGTCATCTGTACGGTATGTGCATACTAAACGATTCCAGACAGAGCTGGTGGTTTTCTTCCAACATTTTCTGCAGCTCCAGGAAGTCTTAGGCAGGATGAGAGCTGCCTCGGAAGGAAATGAGGTAAGTCGTCTCTTGAAGCAATTTGAAAAATACCATATCACTCATGGCTGAACTCTTAGAAGAATCACTACAATTTGCGCTCCTCTGCTCTTAATGTTTCCCAGCCTGTAAATACCTCTAGCCATATTCATAGGTCTTTTTCATATATTATCTCTCATTCCTGGAACCAGCTACCATCTTCAGTTAAATCGGCAACTACTCTAGCAGAATTTAAGACTGGCCTATCTCGCATAACTACGCTTGGCTATAAGTGTAATAAATGTATTAGTATACAATTGTAGGGGTAGGGTTATGAATTGGTAATTAGGCTTCAGGGTTAGGGCTACAAGTTAGGTGATTAAGGCTGGTAGGGTTTCAGGGGAGGTTCAGGATTAGGACTAGGGGTAGGGGGCTAGGTGATGTTTTTGCGTTTCTTTTTTTCGTCATATATACATATATTTAACTTGTACATATATTTATATACACATCTGTATTTTAACTGTCGAGCGTTTTCAACATGAGCCATTAGGCTCGGGGGATCGGGTAACCACCCCCTACGTTACCGACATAAAATAAATTGTATTGTATTGTATTGTATTGTATCACTTTGTGCCTGAAGGCTCTGATGTTAGAAACGAGGGGTACCAATTTATTGAAAGTTATGTTAGTTGCTCAGACACACGGGTTAGTGGCCTGTGGCACTGTGGCACTGTGGCACTGTGGCACACGGGACAGCCCTGATACCCCTTGGTTGGTTGTTTGGATGATACTTGATTTAGGCCTGTTTCGTTTGAGATTACGATTTTTATATCTTGAATGTGTCTGAAAAAATAGAATTTTTGATTATTCTGATCACTTCTTAAGGATCATGTATTAATATTTTTATAGTGAGATAAACTTTGCACGCGTTTTGATTGGTTCTTTCTAATGATTTATTAAAGGACAGACGCATAGATGACGTCATCATTTATCGTTTTGTTTCTTTACTATGAAAAACAAATAGATTCCATGTTGCTTTGCGGCTGTTTTGTAATACACATTTTGGTCACAGACGATGTCAGAATGTGGTAAGAACGTGTGCTAATTTTTAGCTCTAACCGCAATTTTACATCTTCTGTCACTTACATGTGTGTAACTGAGTAGCTCTCATCCTGCCAAATGGAATCTGTTTGTTGATGTGAGTCTGAGCAACTTACTTATGCGTTAACAATGTGTCGGGGTTGTCATCTCAGGTCTCTTGGATGTTTGGACGTGGAAGTCGAGTGGCGCTTGACATCAAGGCAGGAAATCCAGTCGTTTTGGTACCTCGCTCGGCCAAGTCCTCGCACATGCTAGTGGCAGATCTGGGTAACCTGACTGTTAACAATAGCTTTCTTTGGAAAGGGCCACCAGACACATTGCCACATTCAAAAAAATCAACAAGGCAACGAGCATCATCTCAAGCAGATTCCGGTAGGTTAAACAGGATAGATTAAAAAAGCAATTTGCAGCAGGAGCTTGCTAAGTGTGCTTGTAATTTAATCAAGTTTGGCCAAACAAAACAAGTTGAGTCCCGTGGTTGCTATTAAAAAAGCCAACTTATCGCGGGGACTAAAAGTGTGTCCAGTGGGTGTTTTCAATCCCAGAGGATTAGAAATTATTTTGCTCCATAGTCTTCACAATTCTGTCAGTTCTTGGAACTGACCTGTTTTATCTATAGAAAGGACCAATCCTTTCTGACGAATTTGAAGAGGTCCATGACGCACTGTACTAAGGTGAATCATTTCGGTTTTAATTGACAATTATTTCCAGAAGTAGAGGTGAATATCCACCACTTTCACCGACACTGAGGTGGATAATTGTTTTAGTATATACCATACAGAAACCAAAAAAGTTTGTTTTGTCAATATACCCTCCCCCCCCCCCCCCAAGAAAAAAAAATGGACAGAAATTTAATTGCTGACGCGCGATTTTGTCTCTTCGACTGCTTGAAGGTGAATCGTACTTGTTAATGACTTCCGAACCAGCCAATTAGCGTGTGCGAAAAGCACCAGTCACCTGTGTGGTATATACTCATAAAGTGTATTTTGCTTTCTTGTCGAAATCATCAATTTCTCCTTTTTGTTTAAGGACATCACGACACTTGCTTGTTGGACAGTATGCACATTGAATTGGTTGACATGGATCTCTTTACAGCCACAAGAGTACAAGAGAACAATCAGCAGTCGCCTTCGAAGTTTTCATATAAAAGCCAGGTTTGAACTCTTGTACTAAGAAAAGGTTGACCTGAAATGATTCTAACATTTCTATGTCAACATATTCATCGTCAGCTATAAGCTGATGTAGTTGTAGGTTAAGAGTCATGCACATTATCTTCGTGTGAATGTATATTTGTGTTCTTTTTATGTAAATATTTTTTCCTTTCTAGTGAATGTGTTGGAGTTTGATGTCCTACCGACCTGTAATTAACTCTCTTGTTAAAATGATACTTTGGTCAATAGGCTGCTGGGCTTCGCTCTGTTAGCCCCTTCGGATATTCCAGGAAGCAAGCACTCTAATTTTGTTTGTTTTTTTTTCTTTCTTTCACTTTTTGTAATAAGTGGTAGGTTGAACAATAAAAAGGAATAGTAAAGGTTGTCGTTGTTGATCTCTGTCTGTCTGTCCCATTTTCCTTCACCTGACTGCGAGGAACTTCTAGCTGACGATCAAGTGTGAAGCTCTCTACTGTTTACTTGTTTGCAGGGATTAAAACTGCTGAAAGAGAAGTGCAAACTGACTTTAACAGTCGAACGTAACCTGGACGGGGCATCTAGTAAAGCTGGTGCAGGTAATCAAAAGTACACGTACATTCATGTAGTGCTGATGTTACACCGTCAAGCGTCACTTTCAAGGTGTGGACAGGTGTAATTAAACATGAAATCTCCACACTAGGGTGTTTAAGGCTCCAAAATATAAAAACAACTTAACCTTTTTCCGGATAAATTCAAGTACATGCAAGTGCTACTAAAGTTCGCTGTTAGGTTACTTTTTTTACATGAAATCTGCCGTACAGGTGGGACAATCTAGCAACTGAGCTACGAAACCATACATTAGAAGCCATGTTAGGTGTGGCTCTTTGGCATGCTGTTACTGTCTTTGGAGTGAACGTGGAAATACGTGTTCTTCGTTGGTAGGTGTAGCTAAAATTGAATTGTAATTTAGTTCCAGACTTCAACTTCAGTGGCTGTCTTTCGTCCTTGTGTGCATCTTTGGATTACTCACAGTACTGTTTCATTCTTGGAATGTTGGGAGAAAACTTTGGAGAACCTTTGGAAGAATTTGAGAGACCGTCCTCAGTCATCCAAGATCCTCTTGGAAAGGTGATAATTATATTAATCACTTAAATCTTTTCTACATTTAAAACAGAAAAGTTTACTCTTAGTGTCTACTTTGAAGTAGAGGTGGTGCTAGGCTTTAGTTTTTTTTTAATTAGTTTGTAGTTAAAGTGTGCTGAGTTTTAAAGCGGAATTTATGGAAGGGAGGTTTTAGATAGAGCCTTAGTGCTTGTTTATTTGCCATAGTAAATACCCGCAGTTTTACCTTTTTAAACTTTTAAAGAGGTCGGATCCTTGCCGCAAATCCTGCTTTACAGATTACTTTGAAATCTTGTATTTGAAACATCAACTAAAACTAAAGGATGATATGCACATAAACTAGGAAAAGCCACATCAAAACAGCGCTTTAATCACGTCAATCTAACACTTACACTTAAGGCATTGCTATCATTTTTGTCTTCCTTCTTTATCACAAACGTTTTGTGTGTAATCTTAATTATTTAAGCAAACTAATCGAGATTTTCTGAAATCCAAATGGCCTCCAAGAACGCTATGTAACTGAGGGCCAAGAAAGGTTTTGAAAAGGTAATTGCTTCACCATTTTAGCCCCCAGAGGAAGAGAAGGTTTGGACTGTCCTGAGAATGAACATTGACCTCGTCAACGTTAGTTTGGAGCTGCTCCCCTTTCAACTGTTTGAGCACCCAGAAGATAACCTCGACCACGCCCAGCTGCCATCATTGGCCAGGATAGACTTCATTAAATCTAAATTCGAGTTTGAATCTTTCTCTGATTGGTCAAAGACTATTGATTTGGTCTCCCAAGAGGTCATTTTTGAAGACATGAGGCAGAAAGGTAACTTTTCAATTCCAGTGAACGCTTTCGGTTGCCCCGGGATCTAACAACAAATTACCTTCCCGATATCATGGTTTTTGTTTCACGATGTTCAATCGATCAAAGGATTACATAAATTTGCAAATTCAACTATATCGTGGGTTTGGAATGCAGAAAGAACTCCCGGAAACAATATTGTGGAACATTTTTTCCTTCGTCTTGAAAGACGATTCTACGATTTTCATAGCCCTGTTAAGAAAAGGGCCCGAACAACGTTGTTTGCAGTGTAAGAGAAAACAACGAGTCTTCTTGTTTCGTTATTAAGGTCATTCCACACAATCACTTTACCCATTCTTACCATGTGCTATCACGTGCTTCATTAGGGAACGCACTTAAAATGGCGTTTTTTTAGTCGTTTTGTCTGATTGGACTTCTTCCTTTTAAATGGTTGCAGCTAAAAATGAGGCTGCTACCTCGTTTTAAGCACAAAATTAAAGGCCCCAAGAGATAAAAGACCAATTGGAAATGCTTCACAAAGAATCTTAGTGCAGGTTCTGTCCTTTTAATACTTAATTTTGCTGACTTCCTCTCTAGGTATGGACCTGGATGACTCTGATTCCTGTATCTTCACTGGTATTCTTTTGCCTAGAAAATTACCAGCGTCCACCAAGGAGCGGGAGAATTCGCTACAGTTTGAGGTTCACTACAGAGACACGACTAGTAAAACCCTGCTAACGTTCTTGTTCAATCACAGTCGTATTATGCTAATCATCGATTATCTGCTTGATACGTACAACTTCATCATGTGTCGAATGTTCAAACCCAGTACAGGTGAACACACCTTACATCTTTAAATGGTTAATAATCTATAGTTCAAGTCTGTAACATTCATTTATTCAGAGCCGTTCGCTCATCTCTACACGGGTTTATTACTAACCAACAAAATGACCAGCTCCTAGTTGGCTTGTTAGCTCAGTTGGTGGAGCACTGCACTGGTATCGCAGAGGTCATGGGTTCAACTCCTGAATAGACCTAAATTTGTTTCACGCATTATTTTAACTACTGTTTTCGTGACTGCGGGGATCAAACTCATTTTCTTTGCTTAATCTGCAGTTCAAGTACATGATATTTATAAATTTACAATCGTTTAGAAATGGGTAGGGAAAAATGGTTTTCAAAGGGGAGCTTCTATAGTCCTTTTTTTTTTTTTTTTTTTTTTTTTTTTTTAAAGTTGTGGTGATCAAACCGGTTTGTTTATCTTTTTCTTTGTTCTGGATTTTGATCTTGAGTGGGAGGCAAAGGAAAACTTAATATAAATCAAACTCGGTGAAAAAAAATTAATCCAAGGATAAGTTTGAACCACTGAATATACCTGAGGTCTAATCCTAACCTCGGTTTTTACGCAATCAATAGGCCTCAGGTTTTCTCTTTTAGAGGGTTGATTTAATTAAATAATTGTCCCTCCACTGTTAGCTTTGGGCCTTCTTGTCGCTGTTCACAAAAATAAATGTTCAGATAAGTGGTTCAGCTAAATTGGTTAGGACTCGCATTTGTAAAAGAGCAGCTAAACTATGTTTAAAAAAGGATTGGATAGCAAATTTTGTTACTTCCACCCATACTCGCAACTTCTTTTAGTCAAAATTTTCGTTTGTATGCGGAAGTTCGTGTAAGTGCTTCCGAAAAACGTCGTTTTCAATCAATGCCTTTAACCCCAGTTAAAAACTGTGAACTTCTCATTGGCGATCTCTTTAAAATTCGTTTTCTTTTCGATGGCTATGAAACAATCTTAATTGTATGATATCCGTCGAAAAGAAAAAACTTTTCTCAAAAAAAACACGAAAATAGAATTGTAATTTAGTGGTAGTAACGTTACCTTTAACCTTCCATGCAGAATGTCTTGAGAGTTTGTTGGGTTTGCCTTTCTACCCCGACATCAGTATCTATATTCTTAAAACAATTCTCTTTACATTTCCTTTGGTACTGATAAGGAGAATTCGTTTAACAATCAAACTTCTTAGGTTGGTAATCATTTCCTTTGTGTTCATGATTTTAATGAATGATTTAGCAGTAGTACTGTAAAGAAAAATTAGATGCTGATTATTGTTAGGATTGAAAGTTCTTAGTTATGAGAAAGAAACAGAAAAATAAAGGCTTGACTTAGTCCTCTCTTGCTGTAGCTGAAGACAGTTCTATGGACGTGCCAGAAGATGATGGTCACGCCAAGCCATATGAAACACCGCCTCCGTCTGCCTCAGGGGTGGCGACCAGATGTGAGATGCCAGCACAACCACAGGTGGACAATTTGTGCTAATAGTAATTCTTTTCAGTCGTGTACGTGTTGTTCGGCGTTTCAAGAAAAAGTAAAAAGATGCAGTCACTTTAAGTTGGGAACTTCCGCGCGGGATGTTTTCGCCAGGTTACTAGGTAGTCGCAACATTGCGCTCGTTGGCTGAGGGGTTTGATACGGTCGAACCTCCAAGCCTTAAAACTCGCGTCAAAATACGTTTTTAACCGCACCTAAGCTCAACAAAAGATGGGGGCTACGCAACTATACTTTGAGGCGACGGAACTTGTGGCAATCGTGCAATGGGGCGACGTCACCTGAAACCATTGTGCTGATAAACATTTGATTTTGAAATGTCGAAAGTTCAGCATTTGTTTAAAGTGTTTCATTTCGTTAACCTTGTGTAATCTATAGTAAGGAGCAGCATCGTCGTTTCCCGGAAAACTGGGTAAATACTAACCTAAGTGTTATTTTAGATATTTTTAGGATGCTAAGTTCTGGCGTTCAAACCTTAACTTTTGGTGGCCCTAGTCAGTTTTAACTCGCCACTGGCGACCGTGCGACCGCCAATTTTTAGCCCTGGACAGTGCGCGCCAGTTGGTGTGATGTGATATTAGAGTTTTGATGTTACTAATTTGATTACTTTCAGCCTCAAAAGACGTTTGAAATGAAAGTGAATATTTCGGGAACGGAGCTCGTTGTGTTGGAGAATGTGAACACTATGGACACCCATGCCGTGGTTTTGAAGGTACAATCGCTAACCTGTTGTAAAGTGAATGGATAAGGATTAGTTGTGATGATTACATCATAGCAGTTTGCTTCTTCATTAAGACATTGATGAGTAAGGCTCGGGTTGGAGCCATACCTGGGTCTTTGTGGCGTTTCTTGGCCAAGACACTTTATTCTCACTGAGCCTCTCCCTACCCAGGCGTATTAGTTATTCATAGTTGTCCGCTACTACTATGGGAACTCGACGAAATTTTGGGGTTAACCCGCGATGGACTGGTATTCAATCCACGGGGACCATGGAAACCGGCCTATGAGCCAGCGAGCCTTTGTTTGTTTGGAGACTTAACCCTACTGTTCCCTTTTTGATGAAATATCTCAAATAATATTGTGAAGTATTTTCAATTGGAGAATAAAGTGACTTAAAAACTTTGTACCCTGAAAGACCATGGTGACTTATATGTAATCGCATCGATTAGAGATGTATATATTGTTGAGTCCTGTTTGCACACATTAAATCAACTTGTACCCGCTGCATAGATAACAGCTGTGTTGGCATGGCGCCCGCATCTTCAAAGTCAGAAGTGGCTGTCGTGCAGTATCCAAAACCTGGAGATGTTCTCCTGTGTTTTGTCCTGTGAGGAAGAAACCGCTCTGTCGATTATAGATCCAACATCTGCATTAGTTGAGTTGAACAATTCCAGGAGACAGAAAGGACGCAAAAATGCCGGGTTGTTGGATATCACAGAGGAACAGTTGCCTAGTTTGGAGGTAAGTAGCCTTTTGTGTTTTCAAAACCATAATTTTTTTAAAAAGGAGATACTAATTTTGTTGATGAAACTTTTTGGGAAATTCTCGTTAGTGGTCACAAGAGCGCTGACGTCCAATCTTGTAGAAGACAAAGGGTGTTTGACACCAGCGTTGGGTTTAAATTTAGACGCATATGAGATTCTCTGTCTTGGCTTTGGTGGTTTTCCATGATTACTTGGTAAGACAAGGAAAATAAAATGGTTATAGGGCTTGAAGTTAGACCTTCATGCACTGTTTAGATTCCTTTACACTGTTCTGCAATAAGCTGACCCATGTGTTAAACTTACCTTTAGAAAGCGTTTAGGTGGTTATGTCTGGCGAAAGATAATGAAAAAAAGCCAATGAATGCTTCAGATCCCCTCAAAATGTTTAAAATATCTAAGTAAGTATTGTGCTACAAAAGGTAGCAACATAATTCGATATATCAGAGCGATGAACCCGCAAGAACGCCTTGTATTTATGTGTTTTAGATCAACCTTCCAGGACCGCTTACCATGCGTGTGTCATATAACGACTATAAGTTGTACCTTAGTATCCTGGATTCTGTGTCCAAGCAACTGAATAAGGCTATTAAAAGTGAAGTCAATTCAAACGTTGCCGAGGAGGTGCCTGATCATGAGTTTGATGGTGAGTTTCGAGGTCATGTTTTAGGCAGTTTTACTGCACTGTATGCTGATACTTTCATTTGTTCAATGAAAAATGTCGTATTTTACTTCGTAAAATTGTAGGAAACCACAAACCAATCATGAAAAGGTGCAGGGAACAGAGGACTTTTTCCTTTTTCTAATTTCCTGAAACAAGAAGGATATGTGAGCACTTGAGACAGCTTTCAGACGAGGTTGTGTAAACACCGATAAAGTCCCTTGATGCTCCCTTATAAACTGCTCAAATAGAACGCGCAAATCAATTATTATCAATTATTATTGATTAGCAGTTGATCAACATTTCTTTTGCTACCAAAGCGATGTCAGTAAAACGTCTTCAAGAACTGGGCTTTAAAGAGGCAGATTGCATCAGAGCTCTTCAAGCGACGTCAGGTCGACTAGAGGCTTCTGCCACTTGGCTTCTTGAGAACGCTACTCCTATCATCCAAGCACAGAGCTCCCAACAGCAAAGCAGTGCACAGGGTTGGCAGTTTGCTGGTTTTGAGGTGAGTTGAACGCTTTGTGCCCAGGCTTGGTGTGTCGTAAAGCCACAGTGACACTGCTATGATTGACAAGTATACTTATTTAGAAAAGAAAAAAACTTGTATGATGTAAAGAAGTACAGACGACTTGTTGTAACAAAATTTGAGTGTCCATAGTAGAATTCTTCGTAGAAGTTTTCCTATCAAAATTAATCATTCTTTTTTCTCGTAGACGAACAAATTCTCTCCTTGGCTTCTCTTGGTTTGTCATGTTTGGCTTTAAAAAAGCTGGCAAGGCGAAAAGCTTTTGGAAATGATACTTGCCAAGTAAAACGCACTAATGTTAGCAATCGTGTTAAAGGTTTCATGATACGTTGGTACACAAACAAAGCTGGTTTACTAGGGCTACTGTTGATAAGTAATTCAGCTGAATATTCAAGATGTTTTTCAGTCATTCTTAGTGTTGTTTGCAATTTTAAGTGAGCCAATCGCAAATGATGCGCTTTCTAAACTTTGGCGAGCTGTTTTACGGCTATCAGCGAACCCCATTGAGATTCCCTTTTTTGTACCCTGAGATATAACAAAGAGCTTGCAAAACTTTGTTGCTGACACTAACTGTCTGGGGTTGTTTTTCCCGCGGTAGGTCCGCGCGGGTGCTGTGTGTATCTGCCTGATTGATGACTGTGGTGACAGTGACGTACCACTCATTGAATTTAGCGCTCAAAGTATGTTGGATTCTTCGCATTTCTTAAAACTTAGATTCATTTGCCTCCCCACTGTTTAGTTAAGTTTTGTAAGCGTCTGTGTTTATTATCCTTCAATATTTTTTTAACTCGCGGGAAAAATGTTTGCGAAAAGCTTACGTTTGCGGCGTAGGAAGTTCACTTTCCAGTGTTCTCTATTACGATTTCATGTACAAGAAAACAGTGTTCCTTCTTCTGTAACAACCACATAACGCTTTCTCATCTTGAACTATATTTTAAAAGCAGATTGTTTCTTACTGGACTTAAGGTTTGAAAATTGGGAACATCACTTAGGGTATATCCTCGGATATCTCCCAGTTTAACCGCGGGATATTCGGTCACGTGATGCGTTTTTGATCAATCGCGCGCGAGCAAAAATATTTGTTGGATAATACAAATAGATACTGGTAAGTTGTCAGGGAAAGCTGAAAAATGCTAGAAGGTAGCCTTTTGATGGAATGGCATCCGGTCTGGGGTGGCCTTGTTGAGTTGTGCTTCTGAAACCGGTATAAGCCTCGTAAGGATGGGCCCTGTACCTCGTAACTTGGCTTCTTTTTTCAAACAGCAATGTATCAATTGACAGGGGAATTTTCCTTTCCCCCTTTTTTTTTCGGCCTCTCGATAACCTCCTGGACAAAAATGCTTGTCCCTTCCCAAAGTTTCTCTACTTACAATCCCAAGGTGGTGGCTCTACATTTCGCGTTGTAATGTTGACCGTTCCCTAGCCAAGCTAAGGTTTATTGACTACCCCTGCGGTAACATGCGTCATTTATGTCCAAGCATTCCAGTTCCATTTCTTGTCTTTGTAAGCGAGTTTCTCATTCGCGCACGAGATTTTGAACCCCCCTTAATTGGGAGACCCGGATTTGCTAATGATACGTAACTTTCAGTTTTCTTTATACGTGTAGACCTGTACTTCTGGCATGACCTTCAGTCCACCGGTGATGGCGCGGCTCAGTGTACTGTGATAGTGCAGTACTACAACAGAAATGTGTCAGACTGGGAACCTTTCGTTGAGCCATGGAAGTAAATATGATCGTCTAGATTGTACTGGTTTTCCCTACCATAGCTTTAGCTATACGATGTAGAAATTTGAATCAGGGCCGGGTTGTTCGAAAGGGGGTTAACCTTACTCTTGGATTGAAAATTAGCCTTAGCTTTATGACTCAATACTAACGGGAAAAATGCAAAAGAAAAATTAATTAATTAAACTCAATTAAAATTGACATTTATTCCGGGATAGGTTAATCGTGTTTTCAACAACCCGCTCTGAACAAATGATTATTGACGTCATGCACGATCAGAACGAGGGCTCTCGTCCGATTTGAACCAATTTTTCGCCTAAGCCTGGTTTTCAAAGGATCGCTCGGATGTTCCCCATTTTTTCGAAAACCTGGGAGGACTGGAAAAGTTCAGGCGTATTCATCATTGGATTCTTTCGATCTCTCTTATGGGCTAGGTTGCTCATGGAGTCCTTCTCACTTTTAAAGGAAATCTCAGTCTTAAGTGTCTAAGTAATCCGCAGCTTCTTTGGTTTTGCTTTACTTCACTATTTAATCGGTCCAGAAAACTCGCGCCACTTTCTCAACCAACTGTGTTAATGGTGGACTCCTCTCTTTCTGTACTGTTCTTGCTATGTTTTTTGGTTAAGACCTCGTTATGCTTGTGTTGCAGATGTCAATTGCACTGGCAGGAGCAACGTAAAACACCAAGTAAAACAAACAGGTTTCTGGCTAAACTGGATGGTGAGTTGTGGTGCACTACTATGCTGAACAAAATGATTTGGGAAATCAGTCTCTTACACATTGCCTTTTTCCACCTTGACATCTAATGACTTACGGGGGTAACCTGTAGCAAAAAAACTCATCCGGGGTTGGGGAAGGAATGGTAGAATGTATTTGTATTCGTTATATACTTAGAGATTGGGAGTAAACTTAACTTCTTGCGGAATGGGCTAGCAGCTCCAAAGTCATGCTACAATTCACTGAATAGATAAAGATAAGAATAGATACAAAATAATAGATAAATAAATAAACATTCATTCATTGCACTCTCAGCCCCAGATCGTCTTGATGTCACGGTTACAACTACTCTTATAAACATGATCAAACACACCATTGCCAGTTGGTCTGAAGACTATTACAGACCTGATCCATCGCCTGTGTCAGCGGTGGCTTCCACAGAGACCCCCAGCCTTCCCTCGAGCCGGAGCGACAGCAGACATGACAGTCTGAATCAAACCACAAGCACCGAAAGTCCTCTTAGCAGTCCGACAGTAAGTAGACCAGAGTCCAGCGCGTCCTTGTGGTCCACGGGATCAGGATTTCCTCGTCGGCGATCACCCTTCGTTCCATTTGTACTCAGAAATCAGACAGGTTTGTTTAATTTGGTTTTGTCTGTTGTTCAGATACCTGTTTTGAAATAGACTATTCTTTTTAGAAAGCTGAAATAATCGCTATTCTATCTTACTTAATGTCCGGTTACTGAGCTCGAGATTGAAGAGTGCTTTGTTTTTCTTTTAAGGGCATAGGTTTGCACCAACTTTTTGCAGGAAATTTCCAATCCCTTTTTTGTCTAGTGTGTGAACGAGGGACGACAAAGTGTTTGACTTGGTTTCAAAATGTTTGGGAAGGCAGTTGTCGACCTTAACTGTTAACTAAATACCCATTACATTACCAGGTGGCGGCCTCTCCGTGAAATAGTGGGTCCCGCCTGTGTCCTGTCCTTTCGTGTTCACAGACTAAACACAAATGAAGTTATCGATCGCAAAATGCGAGATAAGTTTCTTTACTTATTTTTCTGTCGTGATCAAAAAAAGTTTTCTTTATTTGTCTTTCCAAAACTTGTTTTACCTCGACTAGCCCAGTGGATAGTCGTTCTGGAATTTTTTCAGCCTAGACCCTTTTTTTTTTAATAGCCCTAGGCTAGTGGACTACCGCTAATGTCGAGCACTGGAAGATGTATTGAATTCTTGCGTGATGTTTTTAGGATGTGAGATGTGGTTCAAGACAGTAACAACGACTCCATCCAAAGTGATCTTGAAAAGCACTGGGCAGGCTCTTCCTGGTTTACCAGGCCCCCGGTCAGAAAAAATATCTGACTGGAGTACAGTTTCCCCTGGGGGCGAGGCTCCCTTTGAGTTCACATCAGGAGAAAAATTGCGGCACAGAGTAAGTGGATATGTGAATCAGAAATTCTATAAAAAAATTTACAAAAGATGTTCAACAGGGGAATTTTCCATTTCCCCTTTTTTAGTGGCCTCTCTATAACCTCCTGGAAAAAAAATTCTTGTACCCTTCCAACTGTTTTTTTTCGCTGTCGGGCTTTTCGACACAAACTATGCATCTTGGTAAGGTAGAATGGTTATGTGGGTGTACGTAACAATAGTTTTGTCACTGAATCTATTAAGGTAGTACACGAGATTATTTACTCTTGGTTAGTATATGATTACATATTATCGATTTGAAACATGAAATTGCGAATTTAAGATTTTGGGAAAGGTTAGAGAGAAAAAAGAGGACAAATGCGTCGGAAAGCTTTTATTGACAGTTGTAAGTGACAGAATACAAAACTAAAGAGAAAGTCGCAACAGTATGACTGAAACAGTTTCAAATTTCCGTCTAAATGTATGGGAAGAACAAACAAGTTCCTCAACAAAGATTACAGACTTGTGACTGCCTAACATCTTACAACGTTATTAGAGTTTGCTATCATATCGCTCTTGTTCTGAACGCCTTAAAGATTAGTAGCTTCACATTAGAACATCGTTTTAAATATGGAAGTTTTTATTTAAGCAGATGTTTTACGATATTTTCCCTATGTTAGGATACCCATGAGTTCAACGTACATCAGGTTATTGTTCAAGTGGAGGGTTGGGCATCACTCTCCCCAGTCTCTGTTGATAGAGTCGGTACATTCTTCAGACAAGCTCGACCTCAGGAGGTGGCCAATAAATCTCCGGTAAGACTAGCGACTAACAGTTCGTCTGCTCTGAAATTAATTTTGTTTTTCCTATTTCGAAAAGTGATGTGACCAAGTAAACAACAGAGCAAGCATTTAGAAACCAATTTTTTTTTCTGTTAAGACTGCTGTATTAAGATACGGTGGGCTACGCCTTGGCCGAACGGCTAGCTTTGCCGGAAGGCTTGGGTTTGAGCGTAGGCCGGGTCAATGTTCCACTCAGGAGTAAAATTGGGTACTAGAAAATTGTTAGTGAAATATGATTAAATGGTGGTGAGGGGCTGGTAAACCTCCGATGAATTAGAGTGGTATTCAGGCGGGAAATGTAATTTCTAGTAGCTTCATCTCACGAAAACCAGGAATAAGCCCTAATAGGTATGAGCCACTTGGCTTCTAGGACTACGTTATTGCAGTTTTAATTTATTCCTGTTTAATTTTTTGTTTGTTGTTGTATATTTGTTTAGGGAAGTGATCTTCAGCCAGCACGGGTTGTATTTGATGTTAGTTTGGAGGGCAGAGCTCGAAAAGTAGTCACTGTTAGATCTGCGCTGACGGTGAAGAATAAAATGGACTTACCCATGGAGATAAGAATGCAAGGACTTACATCTATGCAGGGTTAGTTTGATGAGCAGCTCCTCATCTGTGTCCCAGTATTGTTCAATTTCTGTCACACCTTTTTCAAGAAGTACACTTTAAAAGCGTCTTTTGTGTTGCCGCTTGCCTTCTGGGCAGAGTCCAGGCTTCATCAGAAGATTAGAAGTTTAGGAAAATGAACGACGCTTTTTAAAAACATGTTTCGACAGTTCTTCTGTCATCTTCAGTTCAGAATAATACAAAGTACAAAGTTGAATTTAAAATGTATAACAAAATGCTGATTGGACGAAACAAACAATACTAACAGAACAATGCATGCATTCACAAGAAGTTAATCAAGAAATTCTTATCTTGAACGGCTTCGTCATCAATTTTGGTGAGGCAGTTTGATCGAGAGGTCAGCTCATCGAGCTCAGATTCGGGGATCCTAGTGCGGATTTCGATCTGACCACAGTTAGATTTGTTTCTGAGTTGTCCTGAGTTCATTTCCTCAACCACACTTATAAATAGTCAACTTAGCGGTCAGCCCTCAAACACTTTGGGCCGATTATTTACACGAGGTCGAACCGAAACCGCGGTTTTACGCAAGCAGTGGGCCTTACGTATTCTCTATGAGATGGTTGTTTTCACTAATAAATGTACTTCCACTATTAGCTTTTGGCCGTCTTGACGCTGTTCACAAAATTAAATTTTCAGGTAAAAGACTCAGTGAAATTAAAGATATTTTAGAACGCGGTTTCGTCAAACCCTAAGCGCCCTTTGGGTTTCAGTCGAATTATTTATTTCGACAAATTTTGTGAGTTGCTTGTAAACCACTTTAGGTAGGCACGGATAATCCAAATACATACAAGTACATTTTACATTTTCGTTTCATCTTATTGAATCAATTTGATTCGAAATTCTTGCCTTTCAGGGACTCTATCTCTTCCAGTCGTATCTCCGGAGTCTTCAGTTGCGATACCACTGCGCTGTACCTCTTGGCAGCTTTATCTCCGACCTTACGGGATGGGGGTGGGGTTTTGCTCCCAGCCAGTAGAATGGAGAAGGGTATTAAGGAGTCATACTACGGAGGGATGTGCACGGGAATGTTATGCTTTACCCTCCTCTGGCCAGCCTGAAAAGAAATTCAGGTAACGGTGTTCTCAACAGCTTTCCTTCTCAAATTTGGGTGCGTTGTGATTAAATGAAATGCAATGAACTTCACGTAACCAAAAAAAAAGTTGGATATTTAAAAACGTTTTCTTTAAACTTGTCGGATTATCAAGCCTTTGTCGGCTTTTCCGTGTTTCTTAAGTGTGTCTTGAATCGGTCTGGGAATGCTACTTCGTCTCTTGAATGGAATGCAAGATCATTGCTAGAGCTCCCTTGAAACTATTTCTGGTTAAATTTCCAGAACTTTTTGCAGGTATCTGCTTGAACTTCTTGTCAAAGATAAGCTCCTTGAAGGGGAAATTTCCCCTAATCAATTCGCTTACCATTTGGACTAGGTATTTTAAAGTGATACCGTTATTTTGGTGTTTTATTCAGATGCTTAAAGTGGTTCGATTGCGAATGACAAAATGACTCAAAACCAGTGTTACTACTTTAGTTTGAGGTTAAAAAGTTAATGGCTGAAAAAGTGACATTTACTTCAGTTTTCTACTGATTTCTTGTGATCCTTCAGGTTCTGTGTGGCTGTTAAGAGAGAAGGCTATCCAGAAGACATTTTTCATCACGAAGGCGCTCAAACAAGTGGTCTCAATATGATGCCTCAACCGGGTCACACCCTGACAATCATGTACCCAGTGATGCTAGTGAACCTTCTACCGTGTGAGTTGAGCTACCAAGTCAAAAATACACCCGCTAAAGGAAACCTGAAGGCTGGAAAGTCTGTTCCTTTGTACACTGTAAGTACAACCTGCCAGCTTTAATGTTTTTATGATGAGTTATGGACAAAATCACGATATATCTTAAAGATCCCGTGAAACGATTTTGAAATTAAATATCCACTGAGTAGTGGTGTGGTGCGAATCTAGCGCGGAAAAAGTACGCACTGGCAAGAAATGTAAATTGTAGCCAAACCAATTGGAAGAGTTAAGTCTTGAAACAGGAATGGTATACAAATCAAAAACTAAACTGAATTAAGATTTAAAACTAAACGAACCTGAACATCAGTTAATGTTCCTCAAGTCAGTTTTCTCTTTTATCTTTCTTTTTTTCCTACGTGAACAGGCTGATCCGGAGAAGGCTCTCGATCTTGGCTTCAGCATTGAAAACTTCACATATTGTGATAACATTCGAATTTCAAGAAGAATGAGCTTCATTGAACATCCAATTATTCATGTGGAACTCCAGGACACCGAAAGAAGATCTTTGATACTAAATGTCAAAGTTTCTGTAAAGCCGGGTGGATCATTAAAAGTAAGTGATAAAATGTTGAGTGAAAATCCTTTAGTACATGTTAACCCTTTAACTCCCGAGATCTGATTGTTAATTCTCTCCAGTAGCTCCTACACTTCCTTGTAAATAGGTCACGAGATTTTGGTGTTTGATCAAGACAACGACCTCTACCTGATAAGTTTGATTACTCTCAGTACCTGTTTGCTGGATAATGTGCGGATATTGTAGGGAGAAGCTATAGGTTAATCACTGTGAATTTAAGGGGTTAAAGTGTGTCAGGCTTTTATTAACAGTTTCAGCGCTTGTTAAGGGGGCAGTAAGCGATAATGGGAAGCATTTTAAGATGAGCACCACACCTTTGATATTTTATTTTGCTAAATATTTCGGTTCCCACGTGCTTTTTGTTCGGACAAATTAGAGGCCGTACTCCACTGCACTGCTGTAAAATTTGAATTTCTTTTTTCGTTATTTGTACTAAAATGTCTCATAATTTGTCCTTAGTTTTCTCAACTTTCTCAATCATGTCCCAAACTTGGCAGACATCATGTCTGTTAAGATATATTGATATATCCGACTAACCGTTTCTTCACTACCGCTAACTTAGTACGTTCGAGGTATTTAACTAACCTTTTTTTGTTTTGTTTTGTTGTCCCACAGGTTTCCATTTATGCTCCTTATTGGATGATAAACAGCACAGGGATCCCTCTTGTGTTCAAGCAAGAGGGTGTTCCTCATGACATGGCTGGCCAGTTTAAAGAACACGAGATGGCGCGGAGCTTGACTCCGTTGCTGTTTTCTTTCTCTGACAGAGAGGCGGCCACAAGGTATGTTTGGAAACCTGTTAGAAATGTAGTATTTTCCTATTGATTAGGGTTCTCTCACGCTGATTAACCATCGGGTCCTCTTGGTTTTTTTTTCCTTTTCGGTTAAATTCTTTAAATAGTAATTTACCACGAACTTAGTTTGTTTTTTTTAGCACATAACATTGTCGAGTAGATGGAAAAGAGTATCGCTTTGTTTTGGTTCTTTCCTTTTTTCTTCAGCAAATATTTGTATGTGACTAATTTTGTTCGTTCTGAGTCCTCCTTTGTTGTTATTAACAGGTGTATTTCAGAAAAAGAAAACTTGGTTATTATAATATGCCTTTGGCAATGTGGATTCTCTCTGCCTAAAAGTTCCTTGTATTTTCTCAACAGATGTCAAATGAGGATTGGCAAGGGCTATCAGCCTGGAAGCGGGAAACCTTTATGGTACGTAATGGGCTCTCAGCACGATACAGCCTCTCCTTTATCTCTTTGCTGTTGTCTTTTAAGTCACTATTACATGTATCGTTTCCTGCTTCCTGCAACTTTGTCTTCTCTGCAGGAGTACTTCCTTTTCGCTGGACAATTCACGAGAATTTAGACGCGTTCACGCCATTCAAGGTGGAAGCCGGCCTAACAAGTAAGTCACTTGGAATATTTGTCAACAATTTTTTTACAGTGTCATTGACTGAGAAACAGAAATACAGTTCAGAAATGTGGGGACAATCTGCTGGAATATGTATGTAGATTTGGAATTTCTTTGAGTTTTAGTTCCTGAATGGGCTTTGAAATGGTTGTGTTATTACTTTGTCTTTCCTTTTTTATGATGTGTTCGGCACTTGAATTTGATTTTCAAATAAAAAATTAAGCTTGCTTTACCAGTGAACTAACTGCAGTGTTTTGCCATGGTTGGTAAAGTTTTTCGCGATTGTGTATAAATGCGAAGTTGAAATTTAAAAATTTCTGAAATAGATCAAGTTTGAATCAATTTATGACAATAAAATAAAGTCAGTTCTAAACGACATATATATTATATATATATATATTCACTTTAACCTCTTTACAAACTTTAAGAAAGACTTAAAGTATGAAAACTAATCTTTAATAATCTTAATCGCTTGGCCCAATGTAAATAGCGCTTGATAAAACAAGGGTACTTTAATCGATACAGCGATTATAGTCTGTGTCTGTTGCTATGATTGAAGCATGGTTTGCCGCTAAATGTACCATTCTATATCGAAAGAAATAAATTTGAATTTTTGTTCCTGGTTATTCACATGATTGTCATTTAAACCATAAAAGTTGTTACGGGAATTAAGAAACATTCTATGTGAGTATTAACATAGTGGCATGCATATAGACACCATCATCTCTCTCGTCACGATAGCCGTCAATTATGGTTGTCTTAGAAACCACTTAGAGCTCTTGTCACATTAAATCCTTGCATTACAGAACGAAAAAGAAAGGAAAAGCCGTAACTCCGCCTCCCGCGTCCGCATGCAAAGTGTCCAGCAGCGCTGTGAGCCGTCAGTTGGAGTTACACGTGCAAGGCGCGTGCTTGTTTCGCGCAAACCTCCCTTGCGAATCCGTGTGCCTTGTCACTTCTAAAAAATGGTAACGTAATGCTGCGCTATTGATTGGTTAAAGAATTGATTGGTCATTTTCCCATCGAAACCTCTTAAGTCAAATCGTCAATGACTATGCTAAATAAGTTTTGAGAAAGTCGTTCTTCGAATTTCTTGGGTGAATTTCCTGTTGAACACTTTAATATCTTTGTTCTTAATCAGTGGAAGAAGAACTAGAAAATGAAATTATGAACAGGGATATTTATAATCAATCAATTATGATGAAACATAATAAGAAATCAGTGAACATTGATTTGTAGTTTCTATGAGGCATCTTCGGTATCTGAAGCAGAAAATGAATGTCATTTGAGATCCTCTGGAAATCAAGATGTATGGGACTGAATTGATCAATAAATTAATTAAAGAAATGGGCGACTAAATATCTAATTATTTAAGATGAATTAATGAATTGATGCACAATGAATAAATAATATTTAGGCAGGAGACTAACTACCTAAATTTGTACTTAAATTAATCAGTCAATAAACGGATATAAACAAACAAATAAATAGGTAAATGAATAAATGAATTAAGAGATAAAACTCTAAACAGATAAATATATAAATAAAAGCAGAATTGTCAATGTTTCATTTTTTTCTGCCAAAAGGCGCTTATGAATTGGGAATTGTTCTATAACCGATTGCATATTTTTTCATGTATGCCATCATAGTGGGAGGGATAATTGATACCGTCAGGAAACTAAACTAATCGGTACCGTGACGTCAGATACGTTTCTGAGATGTGCAGTACTTTTCATATTTACGATCAGCCTTCATCTCTTTATCGCGTCACACCTGATGTGGAGTCTTCGTTTAGTGTGTAGCGACTGGAACACAAACCTTCTTGATTCTATTTCTTTGACCCTACCAACGTAGTGGCGACCCTTAGTTCTTACCAGGAACATTCGTCAGGGGATGCAGTCAGCTTTGTTTCCTCGAGACCGTGAAGATATAACACCATTTATTACAAAAACACCAATGAAACAACAGAATCTTCCGGTTTCTGAAATGTCAAAACAGGGCTATTTCTTCCTTAGCAACAATGCTAATTTTATTTTAAAACTTCTTTAATGTCAGACAAAAAAAAACTGTTTTGCATAGATATTGCTTTATGTTTATATTTGATGTTAAAATAACATCTTAGCACGCTGGGTTCACGGGCAGTTGAACTCAATGTTTGGTGCTATTGTGACGAGTTTTTAAATCATTTTAATTCGAATTCTTCAATTATACTCATGTGATGAACATAATATCGCATGTCTGATTGTGGATACGAATTCATCTCATTTTGAACATATCTTCCAGTCGAAGATGAAACTCGTATCTACACTCAGTCATTTGATATCCTCTATTTACCTCCTTGAATTATTATGATTTATTTGCATTTATTATGTTTTTATTAATTCTTTAACTATTAATTTCTTCTACCCTTGATCAGTGTGTCTGAACTTGTAAGACTTTTGAAGACGAGTTAAAACAGATACTAAACAAAGGCGAAAACAAAGCGAGTTAATACAGCAAACTAAAAAAAGCATAGATGAGTATTGATAATTAAAATGCTCGGATCAGGAAGGTCTTGTCAAAGCAACCTATCAACGTACGTTAAATACGCGTCATGTTGTTGTTTTCAGGGTGTACGATATTGGTATTGATGTGCGTTTTGGCCAAGGGCGATATCGTGATACAAGAATTGTTACCCTTGCTACTCGATATCAGCTGGAAAATAGGACTCATCATACTCTAGCTTTTTCACAGAGACACTTCGTAAGGGAACAGGTATACAAATTTTTGTTCCTTTGGAAATTACTTGATCTCTATTCATTAAGGTGCTTAATTGTTTTCAAAATGACGTTGTCCATATTCGAATTTGTGTTCCATTTGAAGGCAACTTTTGAACGGCAAGGTTACTTTTTGGAAAAAAGGGGGTTGGTTCCTCAAGAAACTGTGGTGCGAGTCGGTGGGAGGTTTAACAAGATAACTGGTTTTACTAACTGAGTTGATAGTAAAGATTGTCCAACGCAAAGAGTTTCTAAAGCTGACGTTTCGAGCATAAGCTCCTCGTCAGTCTGAAGAGGGGCTAACGGAGCCTTTTACATTATCGACTCAGCTGATATCACTAAACTATATACCTTTTAGGAAGTTTGGAGGTTATCTTAAAACTCAGTCTCTGGAAAGTGCGTTTCCCTTAATGATAACCTATTTATCTGCTCTACTGTAAGAGGAAAAACATCCAAATTCTCTCTTTTTGTTTTGTCTGCTCTTTAGGGAACAACCAACCCAGAGGGAACACTCACTGCCATGCCAGGGGCCCTGGTGCTTTTCCATTGGCCCAGGACAGACTTAGACCAACTTTTGTGTATCAGGTAAAGGACCTTGTACTTTGGCTCTTTATTTGGACCCTTTTTGTTTGTGTTTTTCTCCACGCGAGTACCTGATACTATTGCTTGGACAGCACGTGGCACAACCAGCTGTTTTTGTCCGCAACAGATTTCTAATCAAGGTTTTATTTCAGGTTAAATGATGTTTCTCACTGCAAGTGGTCTGGTGGCTTCAGGATCGATCAGGATGATTCTTTTCATATTAACATGAGGTATATGCAATTCTATCTTATGCAGTAGATTAGGAAATAAGTGAATTGCAAGGCTATCTTCCTTTTTGTTGTGTCTGTCCGTCAGTCAGTCAGTCTATCTGTCTGTAGGTTTGTCTGTTTGTGTGTTTAGCCGTCTATCTACCTGCCTGGTTGCCTGTCTGTCTGTCTGTCTGAAGGTTTGTCTGTTTGTGTGTTTAGCCGTCTATCTGCCTGGTTGCCTGTTTCCCTCTCTGTGTCTTTTGAGCTCTTGAGTTAACAGAGTACATAGTAACCTTGTGTTCACTATACGTCTATGTGTCATAAGCTACGCCTCACCTCGTAATGCATGTATTGAGATATTGGTCCAAAGTAGCTTGTACAATAACAGAAAATCATCAGCAAGCTGCTAGGAAAATGCAGGTATTACTTAGAGCATGATGATAAATTTATTTTTTTCTGCAGGAGTTTGAATGATTGTTCGTTGTTTGTGAGAGTGGAGGTGGTGCTTAGAGGAGCAACATTTCACGTTCTGTTCACTGATGCCTCCCAGCTTCCCCCGCCGTTCAGGATTGACAACCTATCAGAGGTTTGTTTAGTGGTTACTGACCTGTGGCTTATTCGTGAAGATGATCTTCCATCAGTATGCATATTCTCCTTACTGTTCTTCATACATTTCTTAAGCTGCTGATAAGAAGAATTTGTTTAACAATTAAGAGCTTCTTTAGTTGGTGATCATTTTCTTTATTCTCGTGAACTTTACGTGTGAGCCATGGGTTGTGTTGTAAGGAGAATTTAGATGCTGGTCACTTTTAGGGGTTAAAGGGTTAAGAACAATCAAAAGTGTTCGGATATACTATCCTGTAATCAGGTTCATACGTTAGCAACAATAGTGGTAGGAAAAAAGTCGATTAAAGGATTTTCGCTTGTTTTTCAGGTGTCAATCACTTTCTATCAGTGTGGAACTGAAGACAGAACAAGAACCATTCTTCAAGCAAAACAATCAGGTATTGTTTAAGCACTGAGACTCTTTGAAGTTGCTGGGTTCGTTACAAGAGACTTGAATTCTTAACTTGTAGGCGGGTTGAGCTATTTTTCAAGTTCGCTTGCGACAAGAGATCTCATTCGCTTCCCGATGAGTCTTCTGTAGCTTAGTGAATTTCTCCCTTGGGAGGTCCTTTGTGTGGCTCAGATTTTTTTCTCTCCCACACTCGTGACAAATAGATAACATTTTTCTTTATTGGACGACCAAACCTAAACATTGCCATCTATCCCAACCTTTCTCCCTAAGGCACCTAGAGTAAGCTTTTTCAAACTACCACTGATGGAAAGAGAGCTCTTGCACTCAATACTTTTGGATCATTAGCTAGGACTGTATCGCACCTCAGAGAAGACCTTAAATTTTGTCTTGTTGGTGCTATTTCAGTCACATACCAGAGCGAGAGCAAATATATTTTTACATTTGTCTTAGCTAATATAAACAAATTGTCAATTGAAAATTGCACATTTGTTTTCGATTTTGCCCGTTACCGTATGCTACTTTCGAAATTGTTCGTAATCCCTATATGACTGATTTTTTCTATTTTTATATTTCTAAATGAAGTTCCCTACTCATGGGATGAACCCACTCTGTTACCTGAGCTGTCTGTTGGGGTGATGGGAGGTGGATCTTTCACTCGCTATCAAATGAATGAGCTTGGAGGAGGCGACCGGCTCTACTATTACAATCCCATATACGTCGTACTTACACATACATTTTCCAGGTAAAGTTCAGTTTAAGTTAGTTCATTTAAGTTTTTCAGTGTTCTGTCGGTGTGGAAAAAAAGAAGGCGCTTTGCCTCTCTACTGCTTTTTCATTCTGGCAGTGTCATGTCATGCATAGCTCCCTCCTTCGTGCTCAAGGTAGTTGCAAGGTAGTTTTCAATCTGAAGTGAGAGTCGCTATGCGTTTAAGTTAAGTTTACTGGTTGTTTTATTTAATAGTTATCAGTGCTTTGGATATTCAGGCATCAGGAACTTTGCAAATTGATGAAACAGTGATAAAAATTATGGCATTTCAAGATAAAAATTCTAGTGACTGTTGGATCATTGTGTCAACGATATTCTTTACATGCAAACTCAGCAATGAACAAATTAACACTCATCAACCCTTTAAAACTCGTGGGTGCCAAGCAGAATTCCTCCTTACAAAATAAATACAATATCAAGGAGAAAAGTGTTGAGAATAAATAACAGTATTGATTAAGGGATTATTAGTTGATTCAGTGCCAAATTCTCTGAAGCAACATTTTGAGAACTGTATGACAGGCAGTAAGGAGAACTGATAAAGGGAACTTGGAAGGAGAAGGGTTAAGAAGTGCCCTGGTAAAACTCTCTTCCGACAAGGATTCATTTAATTTTCATTCTTATTCTCCTTTGTGAAATGATCTTTCAGTGCTGATGGACACATGTGTGGCTCAGTTCACCTCCAACCTGCTTTAGCTGCAGATGAATCGTCTCTTGATATGAGGGAGCTTGTTTTAGATGTACCTCAGGGATCAGCGGTGTTGCTCAGAAGAAAGGTACGAATAAGAAAAGAAAAAAAAAAAAAAAGATAAAGACAAAACTTTTTTGCCCCTACTAAAATGGCGTCAGGGCGTAGGCCACTTTGAGAATTAAACTGAAAGATATCTTTGTAATTTTACCAAGCGTGGCGGTGGAGGGCTGAGGATAGACAGAAAAAAACCGATGGTGCTTATGACTCGTCGCCTTTGATATGATTAAAAATAGATGGTAGAACGTGTGTTGGAATTGTCTGGATGATTTTTGTGCTTATCACGCTTGAGAGTAAAAGAACTGACACAGGCTGCCTATTCTAACGGCGTTTTGCTCGTCTCAGGAACCTCTCAAAAGATCCCAACTTTGGCGACTGACTGGCGAGGGTCAATTACGTCATGAAGGCTCCTCCACTCCTTCTGTGAAGCCGTCTTCGTCTAAAGGAGGATTAGTCCTGGATATTGACAGCTTGGCTCCACCCACTTGTGGCAAGTACGTGCGACTCGTGTTGAGTAAATATAACCAAAGGCGGCTGCATTCACAGACGTGGTCCTTCACAGAGGTAACGGGAACACTTTAACTGAGGTCGCAAATTAATGTCTGCTAAGCTACGAAAGAGTTACTCAATGATCTGCCACATAAAAATCGTTCAATTGATACCATATACTTCGACAAGCAATTTTCGGAATTTTATCAGCAGTATAATGCCCTTCGCCTTAAAGTTCTACGGTTTCTTTAAGTCGTAAATGCGCTTGTTATCATAATTCTTCACCTCGTTTTTGATGGGAGACTTCTCTTTGTTTAACACAAAGAATAAAGAGTGTAATTTGGAAGGGTTTTTTCTCATCCCTCGTTGTCACTTCTAATCTTCATTTGAATCTTGTTCTTGTTGTTGTTAGGATAATCGCATGAAATGTGATCTTCCTGGACTTTATGTACAGCCAAGAGGTGGCGTTAAAGGATTAAGAGATGGTAAGAAAATTAGGCAAATGCTTTATAATGTTCATAAACCTTCAATACTGCTTGAACAGCTTAAACATACTGCAGGCGGAGTGATTAATTTGAAGACGGGGACCGTATTGGAGAGGTGCGAGGGCTCCTTGAAATGTCGTACAAAACCAAAATATTAGTAATTTTTCTTCATCTCAGCTGTCGCCCAGGTTAAATGAATACCGGATTTAGCACACATCTCTTTAAGGAAATTCAGAGGTAGATCATCGGATTGCGAAATCGTAGGTCCGGGATTCGATCCCTCGTGGGAGCGCTATACTTTCTCTTGGTCCCGCACTCGTCACCAAAAGAGTGACAATTTTCTTGAAATAGCGATGTATTTGTTTTTCTAGGTGTAGATGCAGTACTTGGTCCTGCCAACATTACTAAAAATGATCAGATTCCTATCGAACAGTGCATCAGCACGTGTAAACTAAGGCCTGGCTCAGGCTGCCTTGGAGTAAAGGTTCTAGCAGATGGTCCAACACGAGTGTTGCAGATCACTGACTGTTTACAGCAGGTGAGACCTGTTAGGAAACGTACCTTTTAAACTGTCAGTGAGCGAAAGGTCCACTTTAAAAGCGTGAAATTCAGGAAATCTTCATCAGAGGCATTGAAAACTAACAAGTCGTACTGGAGCATCTTGCCTCTGGTGACGCATAACTAATCGGTCTCATTTCTTGATTGAATACCAACCCATTTTTGCCAAAAGACAGTTTGTAGAAGCTCGTAGTCTTATTTGAAAACTTGTCAAGTATTCTTGTGCTAGGAACATGCCCCTTTTACAGGCTGTCGTAATTTGCGTGAGTTAGGGGTATATCTGAGCTTTTAATGAGTGGGTTGAAAACCTGCAAACCCGGCGCTTTCAACGCATTCGCCTCCGTTAGAACGAGGGCTCGTTAACGCTGTGCTGATTGCGTCAATGAAAATTGCAGCTGAACTCGAAGCTGCAAATAGAAAGAGTCTTTGGCAGCTGCCGTGTCTTAAAGCTGAAAAAATAGTTGAATTTGAGAAAGCGGCTGATGTTTTCACCAACGTTTGATCGGATGTTCCGTCGTCAGTTAAATTCCGAGGATACTTTCTGTGCTCGCGATGAGAAGCCTTGTAAATGGAAAACTGAAAGCCGATCGTTCGTCTCATAGATATAGTGGGAAGAAATTGTTTTATTAACTTTTGCAGTGTGTCTACTTTGATTTTGATGCTTTGTTCGAAACTGATGTGAAATATTTTGAATGCGATATTTGATTAGTCTGAAGACGAAGCCGAGAAGGAATGGATGCTAGTCGAACGGAAAGGCGGTTTGAGGCAACCAACTGTGAGTAGCCTGGGTAATGAGGGGGATTGCTCAGCTCTTGAAGTACACATTCGCTTAGCTGGAGGGATTGGTGTGTCTGTCATTAACTCTGTGCCAGAGGAACTGGTGTTCATAAATCTGGAACAAATCGAGGTAATTTACGACTGCACAATAATACTTTTTAGTTTTTCGACTGCACAATAGAATTCACTATTGCACAATTTCGTTACTTCGTTAACTTTACTCGTTACTTTTGAATGGTTACGTTCAGTTTAAGAAAACAAATCATCTGAATTGAATGCGTAATTTTACTAACGACAGTTGTATATTACTGATAGTCTTCTGTGTATTGTTATCGTCAGATTTAGCTCAAATCCAGATTAATTTTAATCAAACCTACCAAATCAAGATTACTTCTATTTGTCAACCATTAACGCTCGAACTCCGAGCGGCATTGGGAGCTATAATCTGAAGTTTGGCTGGAACATTTAGAAATTAAAAAAACACCGAGCAAGTGCATTATTTAAGAAAAAGGCCGTCAAATCACGTTGTTCAATCGATCGATCGCGTCCATAATTTTCGTCTTCAGGTGGACTACTTAAGAAGCTCAAAGCTGGAAACACTCGAAGGCAGTATTGGACGTATTCAGGTGTGTGTTGTATGTATCGCACATCGAAATAATACCCTATCCAAACTTAAAATCGTTATTACGGGAATATATGCGGTACCTTTTTATAGCAATCTGTCATTACTTGCTTTTGAGTCGTGGCAATGCTTAAACCTGCGCATTTTCCACTTTTGCGGCAAAGGATCAAATAGTTATATGTTTGTTGGGAGAGTTACCCAGTGTACCTGTATTGTGTCACATGCAAGTTTATTGTTCTGTAAAATGGAGTGCGCTGGAAGGCGGGGAAAACAGTGAAATAATATATAAATTGAAATACCAGTGTTAATAGTTCAAAAACCAGAAGGGTTGAGAAAGTTAGGAGGACAAAAAATCAATTTAAACATAAGAGAGTTGAAATCTTTAACATGCTGGTTGAGATGCAAACCATTTGGCTTTTCTCATGCATAGACTGAGACTCGAATTAAGGGTTTCGTTATTCTTTGCCTCGCGCAGAATGAATGTACTCTTTATTTACACGACGACAGAGCTCAAAATAGACCATATTTGTAATTTATTTTATTAAAATCACTTAATCTTTCATCCATACCATCCATTTTCATTTAAAGATTGACAATCAAGTGTTCGCCAGTCAGCTTCCAGTTCTTCTCTTCCCTTCCTTCCCTGAAAAAGGCTCTAAAGAAGAGACCATGTCAAAACAGCCTTCACTCCGTGTATCAGCATCCAAAGAACCCAGCAGACTTCCAAATGTGGAAATATTCAAGGTCAGTAATTCAAGGATAAAGTGATTGTTAGGACGAAATAGAGTTCCACTGGTGCGTCAGTTTCTGTCTCTGCAAAGTGTTTTGCTGGAATTTAAAAAATTTAAGCAACATTCAGCCGTGCACCTCTGTGTGAAAGCAAATATTTTACTTGTTTAATAATGAGTACAATCGTTTACAATTTTGATGCATGTTTCAGTGTGACATGAATCTGCGTCAGGTGCACTGATTGGCTGCAAAACCGATTGAACTATCAGTGAATTAATCTAATTAATTTTGTATTTATTTATTTATTTGGTTGATTACTGCTACGTAATCATTGCAGACACTGGATATATCACTGCGTAAGATGACTCTTCAGATCGAGGAATTGTTGCTGTTAAAGCTTCTGCAGTTCTTTGGATATGTACAACAAGATGATGACATTGTTGGTGCAAACCAGGAGGAAGACGAGTGTCTTTATGCCACACAAAGGTTTCCAAGCATTTGCGTTGAGTTTTATTCATTGAAGCCGCTAAGCTACTATAGTGTTTTTGTTTTACAAACGTAACTGTTATTTTTGAATCACGAATTGATTAAGCAATTTAATCTGGTATGAGGATTCTCTCGAGTCTTTGAAATTACCCAATATGGATAATTTGTAACCACACTCACGAACACATTTTTTTTGGGACACTTGCGTCTCCCGGCTCCTCTCGTGTTGGTTTCCAAGATACATTAAACATAGTGGGAATTTACAGCATTGAAAGGGGAAGAGAGGCAGGGGAACATCGCAAGTTGTGTTCCAAAGCGGTGTCTTAACTTATTAGATCTGAAAGTGTAGGTCGGGTCGTTACTAAACAAAGTGTTGAAAGTGAATTTTGCATCGGTAGGCCGACATTGCCAAGTTCATCTGGTTCCTTAAAGAGGTATTACTTTGAGCATCTTCAGCTAAACTCCACCCAAATAAAGCTGTCTGTATCCAGTGCTGGAAGGCTTCCTGAGGATCTTCAGAGCCTGAAAAGTAGTCTGGGGCTGATGTTGGTGAACTTAGAGGATGCTACAGTTGACTTAGGTTGGTGTGCATATACCTACAAAGGAAACTAATCTTCTGTTCGGTTTAATTTTTTCAAGGTGAATTGTACTTTACACCCTCACAGCAGTATTCATATTCTCCACACTGATCTCTGTACATTTCTTGCGGTAATGACAAGGATGATTTTCTTGACAATCGGGAGCTTCTTAAATTAGAGATCATTTCCTTTGTTCTCTTGACATTTATACTAGATCCAAGGTTGATACTGTAATGAGATATTAGATGCCAATCACTCTTTGGGGTTAGGGGTTAAACAGTTTGCCAATGATAAACGGCTTTTTGGCTTTGGCTCCATTTTGCATGAGGAGAATAATTGTTTTAGTAATGATATCCAAGCTATTATCATGAACACTGAATTCTTTCTTCTGCATGAGTATTGTAATCTCCAGAGTACGTTACTGCTCTACCATAGGGCCCACCGGCATTGTAGACCTAATTATTACTGTTTGATTTTAGAAACTTTTTCTCGGTCTCATCCGTTTGACACCCTGTCTTCTCATCTGGACTCCATCGGCAAACATTATACTGATGTAGGTATTGCAAACGGTCCAGTCTTTCTTGTAAATTTCGTTGAGCGACTTTGCTGAATCAACTCGTTATGTTGATGTGTTTTTCCCGAATGATTTTCTCATTATTCATACCCGGCGTTGTGACTAGCATGTATCTGTTACGAGTTCGATGTTTTGGCGACATAACAGCGACATTACACCCTGACTTACAACAATATGAATCATGAATGAATCCCAGGACGTAGTATGACGTATGTCAGCAAAACAAAAGGGACCTGGACCATAGAATAACGAAACTACAGCTTAAGGGATTACAAATATTTCGCTCAAAATACTAAGAAACAAACACAACAGCACAAATTAGAAGAACCGGCGCAATTTTACGTAACAGTATCTAACCACCATTCTGAATATGAACTACTTGTGCGTACTCAAACAGAATTAAATTTCTGGTGCAGATTTTTTAAGGCGAGAAACCCGTCTACCTAGTTAAAAATTTTAAAATTCATATTTAGAGATGTTGGCAAGATTTAAGCATTGAGACATCGTGAGAGTTCTGCGGGCTGCTTCCTAAAAGTGTCGTCGAGAAGAGAAAAAAAGAGGATAGAAATGCTGATGAATCATTTGTTTTTGTGTCTCTTTTGATTACCTGTAGGAAGTCCTCAGTCAGAAAATAGCTATCGTGGGTTCAGTCAATATGCTCGGTAATCCCATGGGACTACTTAATGATGTGTCATCTGGCCTGGAGGGACTGGTCAGGAGAGGCAATGTCGGAGGGTTATTTATAAACGTGGCTCACGGAGTCTCTGACTCGGCAGCTAAGGTAAATACGACCAGCCGTCAAGAGGTTACGCTGTGTCGTTACATACACCTAAATATCCCCATCTTCGGGAACCCCTTCAGAATTAGCCGCCATTAGCTTTGTACGGTTATTTTTTGTTCCTTTTTATGTGAGATAACCATCCTTCTATGTAGCACCCGTATTGAGAATTGGAAAGCATTTGGGAATTTTATCGGCTTTATTTCCATGGTTGCGAAAAATTTGAATTATGAACATGCTAAGGGTTACATTGAAAAGCCTCGTTCCTCCGCAGACACGTTACGCTTGATCGAGATATGACAATAACAATACTTTGAAACCACAGATACTTTAAAAGATACCATTTTTTAAGCTAACTGAATCGATAGAATAACAAAGCTATACTGTCCCTGAAAATGACACTTCGCAGTTGCTTTTCTGTATCCTGTGGAGATTGTGTTTTTTTTCACCTCTTGTCGTGACAAGGTTCCTCTAAAGTAAAAGTTAAGTTGTCCTTCATGCGCTTTTCAAGATGTAAACTGATTTTGTGTTTCTGCAGCTCACTGGTTCTCTGTCTGATGGTTTGTGGAACGCTTCCATGGACAGTAAATTCCAGGAGAGCCGTGACGCAATGCGGGCCGAGAGGTTTAGCAGCTCCAAAGATCACTTTGTAGCTGGCGTAAAGGGCCTGGGGATGGGTATTGTTGGTGGACTTACAAGTATTGTAACACAGCCAATAGAGGGAGCACATAACGCAGGACTCTCAGTAAGTTTACCTACACTTCTGGTCGTATGTTGCTCCGTCATTAAACAATTTGGACCCAAAGTTCAGTACTTATACGTAGAGGAGGACTCGTGCTATTTGTAATTCTTTATGGAGAGGAAGGGGAAGATGAAACGTTTAGAACGGTGAAACACATGACTTAAGGACGAGGAAACAACCGAGGCGGTAGCTTCGGGAGGATGAATTTCGTTGTTAGAAGAATTTGCTTGACATTCTGTCCTTTTCGTCGATTGCTCAATCAACAAATGGCCAGTGTGTGAAGTGTTACCACGCTTTTACTCAAGATACAATGTAATTTCTGCCATTTTCAGCAAATTCGTGTAAATTTATTGTTTTGCATTATCTGCTCCAGGTTAAATTATTTCAGTGTAGAGGCTTTTTCGTATAACCTCTTCATTGCAACATACACTTAATCGATGAAAACGGATACGAATTGATTTCTATGTTCAAGTATGTCGCTAATCCTTCACGTGGTGTTGCGTTGGTGGTTTGGTAAATGAGCGACTAGCGATTAATCATTGTGTCGACTTACACATGCAGTGCTGTGAGATTTTTTTATATTCCATTTTAGCGAATGCAAGTAGTTTTCAGGTATGGACTTTGAATGATGAATAAATCTTAGCCTTTTGTTTTCTTAGGGTTTTATATCTGGTATTGGTAAAGGCATTGTCGGAACAGTTACCAAACCAACCGCTGGAGTTCTGGACTTTGCATCTGGTGCTGCAGCAGCCGTCCGAGGACAAGCGACGCGTAGCTCCAGATATTTCCCGCCAAAACAAGCGCGCTTACGTAGGAATTGTTTTGGACCAAGTGGTGCTATCCCACGGTTCTCCAGGACGCACGCTGAAGGCCAAGAAATCATGTTGAAATTAAATGAAGGCAACTTCAACGAAAAGTAAGGAGTTTTCATTGACTTAACAGATTGAAAAAGGTCAAGTTTGAAAGTTGATTTGTTCTAATGTCGTAAATTGCGAAGTTCTATACGAGGTTAACTGCAGCTGTTTTAGAATTAAATGTCTTTCAATCCTATATTTGTCTCCACCTTCGAAACCTAGAAACTTAGATAAAGATTTAAAACCAGAAATGACTTTTTGGAAACTGAGGTAACTTAGCGGGTCTTGTTTCCTCAGGTTTGTGTTATCGGAGTCTGTTAGACGCGATAAGGAAGACCGCCTTAAAGCTATTGTCAGTACAGAGGCAGTGTACTTTGTGCGAGCCCGTGGGATCCCCTCACCGGAGGCTATTGTTCTTCTAGTGCGGTTTTCCGACCTTTTTGTTTGCCAACCTATTGCGAGTGGTAAGTAATTCTCGAAGTGGAAATGGTGGGTGGGGTAGGAGGGAAAGGGACTCGAGCAACTCGTATCAAGCAGTGGAAAGGTTATCAGTTATCTTAATGGTCGCTATTGGCGTTTGACGTTATTGCATTTAAGATTTGTTTACGTGAGGTCTGAAAGAAGAGTAGGCATGGCCTAAAGGTTTAGAGTGCTGGATTTGGAAGTCTGGAAGTCGCTTTTCGAAATGTTTTACTCTGATACTCGATAGGCCCTTCCCGTATTCTAAAGGGCTTCGCTTTCAAAACGAGGTCAAGTGAAACGCTGGTCTTGTGATTATTAGTTTTGTTTGCATGATGAAAACGGTTGATTTCCATTACAGAAAGTTTTTTTTATATCATTTTCATCTCGGGAATAATGTTGTTCTTCGTTAGTGTCGAGTTCAGATCATCGATGTTTTGTGAATGACCAAATGGTTTGCCTCCTATTAGTCGAGATTTTAAACTATTGAGGTTACATCTCATTTCTCTAGGTATCTGCGGTGCCTCACCTGGCATAGGGATACCGAAAACATCGAGATTTAATTAAAGTTTTCCTTTCACATTATTTGGGTTAATGTAACAATTCTCTTGTAAGATTCGTGTAGCTGATGAGTTAACAACACCAACCGCAGTAACACTTGTCAAACGCGAATTTTTACCTCTGAAATTTCTTTGATTCTAAGCCAAAGACTGTGTCTGAAATTTTCATTTTTAGACGGTAAGGATTACATCGAGCTTGTCATGAAGGCGGATAATAGCAGTATGCCAACACCATCCAAGAACCCCGGCAAAAGACCAAGAGTTAGATGTGATGATAATGTTATCTCTCAGAAGGTTTGTAAAATTTGAATTTACATCGATTCGCGCCACCACAAATTCCTCCGGGGAAGGGGGTTTTGTCCATAAAGGGGTTCGTAGGTCACTTTTAAGTACATCTTTACAATTCAAGTTGTGCGCGCTTCTCTGAAGTTCGTAAGTCGCGCACCTCAGACATCTTCTTCAGCCACTTCACTTTGCCTAATTCATCAAGAACTGTCTGAAAAAACACGGTAAATAATCATGTACTTCATTACATTTTAACTACATTATGAATATCTCACCACAAATTCTTACTCATCGCTGTTTACTTGAATAAGCTGAAAATTATATTCAGTTACCCTTTTGTGTCCAAACGTAAGCTCCTTTACAATAAGTAAAAATTTTCGTTATTTGTCGATTTAATCAGGTGGCTCAGAAGATCAACTATGCAAAGAACCTCAACGATGAGGTACAGCAAACTGTGAAATTGGAACTCAAGGAACCGACTTCCCCAGTATAACCAATGGCTGACTATGAAACGGTTTATAGAAGAGATGTTTGTTGACTACAGTGGCTCAATGTATTGAGGAGTTGACAGAGATTCAGGTGCAAACAGCTGGGCTCGACCGGTTGAAGACCAAGTAGAAAGAAGGTATTAGCTGATTAGCTGAAGTCGATCACGACAGTCAAATTTACCTGACCAAGAAAAACGTAGTTATTCATCACGCTCAGGAAAAAGTATGGCCCCAGTGATAACGCTTGGAAGAGTTTTAACTTGTTGATGTTATATTTCTAAATCCAATAGTGAGTGTCAACCTTTTAACTTCCGGTGTTGATAGGAATGTATTATCAACGTATTATCACACAAACCAGGTATGAGAATATACCAACTTATCAACGAAAGAGGTGATGTCGGCACTCTACCAACCATTCGTAATTATTATACATGGAAATTTAACGTAAAGAAGAGAGAGTTACGAATCACTTCTTGGTAAAGAAAGGGTCTTAAATATTATCTTCAAAAGAGATTAAACAATCCTTAATTCAGAAGACTTTGAAGGTTATTACTTCAATGAATTAAAACGTTGGTTATTTAATTAACAAAATGAATTAAGGAATAGGAAGGGATTACTCCTCAACTTTTAAAGCAGTCTCGCGGACTGTTTTGTTTGTTCTTTTAGGCAATTTTCAATTTAATTTCGTTGTTCATGAGGCAGGGCAACTGGTTTATTTATTCACGTAATTTACCCCCACCCTCCCAACTCGCAAACGCACACAGCTTTGAATAACGTATTTACAAATTGTGCAATTTTGTTAGCAGAAATATTTTCATGTTCCGAACAAGAATGAAATCTTGTTTACCGAATTTTAGGATGTTTTATTTCAAATGTTTTGGGTAAAGAAATTCATCAACTTCAGCTGAGTATCCTCACGCGATTAGAACACGAGATATTTTGCTTATTTGACGCAAATTTGTACCAAAGAGTTTAGAATTAAAATACCCATAATCAATATTTTTCTCAGGGAATATGCATATTTGATTTATCGTGGACTTTCTCAAGATAGAAGCTGACTTCAATAGGCCATTTTACAGTTGTGTACTTAGTTGCCAAGCCTTTGATTTGGAGTGAGGCTGAAGGTGACCTTGTTGTGAGAGAGACAAGTATCTAATTAGCATGATAACAAAGTAATTTGTATATGAAAAGCAGCAAGGTTTGTATCATAATAAGGTCAACCTTAGCCTCGCTCCTGTTTAAAGGCTTGGCAACCAAGCACACAATGTGAAATGGACTATTGTGGAAATCTACATTTTTGAAGCAATGTATGTAGAGACGAAAAGATGTCAATTTTCATGTGGGATTTTCGAATAAAACTGCTATGATATAAGTTTGCTTCGTTTCCCATCTAGTAATCGTGGAAACCGATAATGACATGTCAAAGACCCGTGATAAAACAACGCATTTCCTTTTTAAATTAGTGGATACGCCGCGATAGCATAGAAACGAGTTGTTGTGGGCACTTTGGGATATTTGCTAATTGGCGTGGACTCTTCGTAATTAGTCGGCTTCGAACTCGAGATCTGTCCTTCCGAAGAAGTCAGAAATCCTGGTGCCATTGTGATGGCATCGATCGTTGCGATGTGTATTGTCTCTACAAGGCTGTTTCGACATTTACTAAACTGAAATGGACTTCGAATGTTTCAGATTAGTGCTATGATCAACTAAAAGACAACATTTCAAGGGTCTTCGAATCGTCCACGCACCAAACATAGCGAGAGGCAGCGAGAATCACGAAGAGTTTGAGTGACAGAGCAAGCTGTTAACATGGAAATTTCCACGGAAACATGTACCCATGACTTAAAGGAAAATTGTTAACTTACTGCATTGTTTCTTTCGTTTCAGGGTTTTTTCCGGACGTTTCGGCAGCTACGCCAATTTCGATGTTTTCGTTGTGGTCCTGTCGTTTCGTTTTGTTGATTTTCTATGCAAAGGTGACTGTTTTGATGGAAAGAATGAAATATGATCGGTTTCTACAAGTCGTTGCCGAGCACGTAACCATAATCTGGCCGGTGTTATTTGATCACTTGACGATCTTTTTCGCTCAAAACACACTACGACTTCCTATTTTAAGCAATGTCTTTCCGATTAATTTCTATCGCATCCGTGTTAAAAAAAAATATAAGCATATGCTTGTACTGAAAAACAAAAGGAAAGTTCAAAACTACGAGAAATTGCGAGTAGTCGGCCTCTTCTGCTACACGCGGGTCTTTTGGTGTAACATACGTATGTTTCCCATAAGTTACAAGCACTTTACGCATGTGGGAATACTGCAATCACGGTATAAGCAGTGCAAGGTAGAATGGTTATTGTCAACCTGGAGTGATTATGTGTGATATTTTGCTTCATCTCTCTCTGCCATTATTTCTACCACTTAATGGTTTAATTTAGAGAAGGGGTGAGGGGCGAGGGGTGAGGGGTGAGGGGTGGGGGGTGAGGGGTGGGGGGTGGGGGGTGAGGGGTGAGGGGTGAGGGGTGAGGGGTGAGGGGTGAGGGGTGAGGGTTAAAATTCCAAGAGATAGGCTAACAATGTGCCGCTGGATAAAGTCGCATTTTCACGACTGCATTGACTTCTATGGCGTTGCATTTTCAGCTATTTTCAGTAGAGTTACTAGAATTAATAAACGGCTCCCATTCCATTCCGGTCTTGTCCAAAAGAGGACAAATATGGGGTCTTTAATTGGCCACAACATAGGCTAAAATACGGCAGAGGTTCTGAGAAGTCAGCTGTACTTACCTAGGAAAAAATTACTTATGTACCCCCCGAGGGGTTTCCATCACATACTCAGTGACTATAATTTCTATATTTGCAATAGCACTACTTTCTATCTTTTTTTTAAACACCTTAGTTTACTGATAGCAACTTTACAAGTATATATCTCTCTAATACTTTATCCACAAGTTGGCCAAAGGCACCCTTTGATTCTTTAATTATTAACACATTTTTATTGTAATGTTACAGGGCATACGCAGCAAGTTTATGAGTTATTTCGCTCACTCATGTTCGTTACTGGAAAGTTTCAACCGATTTCGAACGCTTGCGTCTGTTTTTGGACGCTACCGTCTGGTTTTGGTTTATGAAATCTTCTATAAAAGAGTACATGAACAAACGAGATAATCGTACATTGCCTGATTCCATACACTACGTCTCGTATTTCCCCCACAATCCTTTCGTGTTCTAGCTGCTTTCTGTATGCTGTACGAGACAGAACAGAAATCTCATCATAACCATGCCCCATTCATGAGAGAAGGAGTAGCAAACTAGACAACTTAAAATTGTATTCTTGAACAGTTTACAACGTATACATTTCATAATTAAATATTTAAAGATACGATTTGTCTGCATTATTAGCTCTTTTCAGACAGAAGAAGAGCTATTCATAAAAAATATCGCTCAGTTACAGCTTTGGTGATCACAGCCAAAAGCAATGCCATTTGAAATAACATACTGATGATAATGGCTATTGGATTGGTTACAATATTTTCATAATATATTTGCAAAGGAATGAAGAAACACAGCCGAACCATCCTTTAGTCTTCTTTCGCTGATTGCCGTAACCTTAAGAAAAGAATTAAATTGCCTTTATTATTACATTCTAATGAGAACCACCAGATGTAAATCTTAGGATGTTTTTTGGTTAAGTGGGCGTAATAAAATGGGCAAAACGTGTAGGGGGTTTACAGTACCGAGTAGCGTGAAGACAGGAAGAGTGATGGCTCTTCTATTCTTGAGAATTCCATCAGCAAGAAGAGTCCATAATTAATATGCATGGTTGATACTGTGCTATCTTGCTCAAGAATCAGCGAAATAAATTTAACCGGAACAGCTTCAACTTGATCAAGACTCTTCTAACGAATTTACCTTTCGAAGCTTTGGCCCTATAAACTATCTTTACATAGGAAAGAAAGAAAAAAATTGGGTATCCTCAAATGAACACCGCATTATCGACTTACTTGTTTTCATTAGGATCTTTGGTTTCAATCTTTTGCACTCTTGCCAAAGGCTTGAGTACCAGTGGATAAAGAACAAACCAAATTCCTAACACAACTGGGCCTATGTAATATAGGGACAGCCATGCCTTGATAAAGAAACAAGAAAGCAATTTAGCATTATTGGACTTCCAACCAAAAGTCAACGAAAGCTATATCATCACCAGTGACAGGAGACAACAGATATACGGAAACAAATATTTAAGAAAGATGATCTGTTTAAGGAAGCAACCTTCGTTTCATTTTAATTTGTTTTTCGGTGGATACCATTGTCATGATCTGACGGGTGCATAGAGAAATTTTACACCTTAGCTGAGGCGGGGACATAAACAGAAGTTACTGCTTAAAATACAGACGGTTTTTTTAAATATTTTCACTTCAGTTTAATTTTACAGGATTTTTTCAATATCATAACAGCAAAACTCCACTTGATAACAGTTTCATCCGGGAGTTTACCTTGTGGGATAGGTCTAGTCTCCGCAGTAAAAACGGGACCAAGAAAAAGGCGACCCCTGACAGACGCAAGCAAACACCAAAGAGGATAACGGAAATCTTGAATAACAGCGGGAAATCTTCAAATGATGTCTGGATTACTCGACGACAAAAACTTAAAAGCTGAATGAAATAGGAGAGAGGTATCAAAGTTAGCTGATTAAAGATCAACTCAAGAAAAAAACCATATACAAGGCAAGAAGTGCATCGTTCTCAAGTCTTCGAAATTGCTGAGGTTCACAAAGGCGAGTTACACTGTGGATAACTCTTAACTCGTCGCTAGATATTTCGAATACGAATACGAAGAAACATGAAATGACTTTTGATGCACACGTAGACTTTTTTCATTTGACCGACGATAGACCATTTTATTTTGCGAGATATTTCTTATAGGGGTCTTACCTCTTGCGAATCGAGAATAATCCGCAAAACCCGCTAAACTAATAAAACCTGTGAAATCTCATGTTGGTGTGAGTTTACCGCACTTTTAAGGGGCGTGGTAAGGGAAAATCAATGCAATCCTAATAATTCTCCACCTTGAAATTAGAAAAAGCTCATTTGTTCTTGATTGGTTGCATTGTGTTACCTGTTGTTCCATCACAATGACGGCGAATTCTCCAATGAAGCACAGGAAGAATCCAGGTTCAATTCCATGCCACAGAGCCACGAATGCGAGCGTTAAGAAGTGCGACAGAAGTTTATTACCCAAGAAACGCAGTCTTTTGTACAAATACCTAGAACATCAGAGGGAATAATTTGAAGATTAACAAATGGGACTGAATGGCGTTATTCCAAGGCCAGAAGTATCAAGAAATAACCACTCCTGGGTCGTGAATTTTGCTAACGTGGACATCCTGTACGGCGTCTGTTTGGTCTACACGTGACCGTGTGAATAACATCTTTGTTTATTCGAAGATCAAGCTCAAAATTAACCATATATTTATCTGGAAAGTTAGAGAGCAAGCACCCAAGAAACCATATTTACCTTAAGTATACCATGTTTATAGAGAGCAAATAATCGCTACCCACTGATAATCCTCTTTGGAATATTTTGTGAAAATATGCATGTTGTCCTTTTAAACTAGTGCCTTTAAAGAACCAAAATCCCACTTACCTAAACATCCATTGGTTCGTTTTCAAATTAAATGCATCTATTACATGCTGTAGGGAAAGGTAAGGGAAAATTAGGCTCTGACTAAGGTAATAATATATCGCAAAGTTATTAGTTGAAAAGGGAGCCATATATGTTACTGTTACAAAACGTCGAAGTAAAACTTTGGAAACATTTTAAATGTGATCAGTTGGTGAAGACATTGATTAACTATTTTCACAAGCACTACAACTGTAACATAAACAACGTTTATACAAATTGTGACAATGTGGTAAGGCTTCCTATGAATTAGCAGATTTTTTTTGTTTGTTAAAGAGACCGGACTAAATACTTAGAGGGGAAAGGTGGCAACATGGACCAGCATTCTTACTGCCTTCTTTCTACATTCTTACTGCCGCAACTCTGCAAGTAGTTCTCTGATTCAGAACCTATCATGACTCATTAACTCCAGCACCTACCTTCCTTACAGTGTCAATCGTGAATCAAACAATGATAGAGGAATAGGAGAAAATAATTGCCAACCAGAGAATATCTTGATTGTCAAACCTTACCACATTAAATGTAAAGAAAACAGTATTGAAAGTATATATTGTGATGTGAGGGTGTCAAAGGTTAAGTTATACCTGAAATCTGTAGGCACATTCAAAGAGAAGAAGATGGACGTTACTACAGCCATCCCATCTGACTCGGCCATCCGCTGACCGACCATTGTAACCCAAACCTGATATGATACAAGA